CAGTTCTAATTATCCTCTGAAGTCTGTGTCTGTCTTGTTGGGTTGCAGAGCCAAACCAGACAGTTATGGAGGTGCAGATGAGAGACTCAATAATTCCTCTATAGAACTGTATCAGCAGCTCCTTGGGTAATTTGAGCTTTCTGAGTTGGCACAGAAATAATATTCTTTGTTGTGCTTTTCTGATGACATTTTTGCTTCTCATCCAAGAAGCTTCTTCAGCTCTGACAGGATCGTGGGGAATGGAATCCTGTCAGAGCTGAAGAAGCTTCTTGGATGAAAAGCGAAACATCTTCAAAAGAAAAAAAAAAACAGGGAAGTCCAGTTGCCTCCTGAAAAAGTGCCATGACCTAGATGACTGAGAATCTCTACAGACATTTAGCTATACAATTTGGGATGGACTCCCTTGGAATGGGGTGGGAGTAGGAATGGATTTCTGAAGAAAAAAATTGCAGACTACAGGAACCAGGAGCGCTACTCAGGTGACGCTGAGGACACAGATCAACCTCCAAGGGGCCTCAACAACACTCTCAAAGAATGCAAATAATGCAGCTGTCTTCAAGGAATATAAATCCTTCCATTCCCCAACATCCGGTCACAGCTGAAGAAGCTTCTTGGATGAGAAGCGAAGCATCTTCAAAAGAAAAAAAACCAAAAAGCCCAGTTGCCTCCCGAAAAAGGACCTTGGGAACAACCATGACTTGGATGACTGAGAATCTCTACGGACTTTTAGCCGCCATCCACTCCTTACTTCTAAGTCTAAGATGCGTAGGGGTATTAGATGGCATTTCTGCTAAAACCACAAAGCTCTGTTCTGACAGCTCAAGATACATCTTACCAGATGTTTTATTATCGTGGAATCTTCAAAGAAGATTGCAATAATACCCGTGAAGCACCTTCTTAGTCGCTCAGTTGCTTTGTCAGATTATAGCCGTTTGGCTCCACAAGCTGGCATAGCGTTTCCCACAGCATATAGTATATATACTTTGGGGTCTAGGATTAAGTGCCCGTTCATAATCCTCCACAGCAGTGATTCTTAATCTTAACAACTTTTAAGAGGAGCGGACCTCAATTCTATGCTGGCTGGGGAATTCTGGGATTTGAAGTCCACTCATCTTGAAGTTGCTAAATTTGAGAAACACAGCTCCACAGTCAAGAATCTAATGGCATAGGTATCCTAGACCATGTAATGCATTGTTCTGTCCCCGTACCACACACGCACCCCCATGGACGGCCCGGAGTTAATAAGCCACACGACAAAACTTTTTGAAGATAAAGCTGGCAGCAACCCAGTGGCTAGCTGCCAATTCAGACTTTACTCACACAAAACAAAGATTAGACTGCAAGCATTCCGATAAAGCAGGCAGAGTTTCAACAATACAAGGATTAATCCAAATGCAGTCCGATAAAGCAGGCAAAGTCCAGTAATGCAGAGATCATGGATTATTTCTAGTTTTTGCTCATCACAAACTGAACCGGCCACCACACCCACATTTATACCCTGTGGGGTGTGGTCCAGTGACTCAGCTAATCTCTGGCACGCCTTCCCCTCTGCTGCGCACGCTTCTCCCTGCGCCTCTGCCGAGGGTCCAGCCAGCACTTATCTCCTTCGTCGCTGTCCACCTGTGACTGCGGGGACGTGCTTGGCTCTGAGCCTATCTTTTGGCCTTCGGTGTCCTCCGGAGGCATTGCCAGAGAGGAGGGTCCTGGAGAGGGAAGCCTTGCCAACTCCTCTCCCTCATTCTCAGAGTCTGCATCTGTCAATAGCCCAGGCTCAGGCAATGGAGCCACAACATGCATATATCTCAAGCTATGCTTTATGGACTAATATACAAGCCGTATGCATTCCCATCTCATACGTTCAGTGAAATTGGAAAGATAACATTCATAGTTGCAAAAGGCCAAGACGAATTGGAGAAATATGTTTTACGGTTCCTTTCTGTCTCTCAGGCAGATACTATCTCAGAGAGATGGCTAAATTAGCTAGATTGCTTCTTGCTATCTACATTTACTCCTCGAGTTTAGTGCTATCGTTAGATCTTAAAAGCACCAAATAATAAACCTTTCAGGGTTTGGAAATGGAGTTTTATCTCTCCCTTACAAGCTTTTTTTTTCCTTCTCGTTTTCTTGACTGGTGTTACAATTGTGCGGTGTCACTTTGCATTACACACATTGCTGATTAGGAGTTAGATGGATTTCTTATTGGAATGTCATGTTTTTGCTGCCAGAATAGAACAGAATAACAGAGTTGGAAGGACCTTGGAGGTCTTCTAGGCCAACCCCCTGCTTAGGCATGAAGAAACCCTACACCACTTCAGACAAATGGTTATCCAACATCTTAAAAACTTCCAGTGTTGGAGCATTCACAACTTCAGGAGGCAAGTTGTTCTATTGGTTAATTGTTCAGGAAATTTCTCCTTAGTTCTCAGTTGCTTCTCTCCTTGATGAGTTTCCACCCATTGCTTCTTGTCCTGCCCTCAGGTGCTTTGGAGAATAGCTTGACTCCCTCTTCTTTGGGGCAGCCCTTGCTAGAGATAGCCTAACCTATGGTGTTTCTCTACTTTTTTTTTTTCCTGTAGAAAAATCAAATAGATTTTTTTAAAAGGGCTTTTTTGGCCTCCAAATGTTCTGGATTGCATGTCCTATCAACATACCCAGTGATCAGGAACAGCTAATAGAATAAATCTCTGAAGGAAACCACATTGGGGAAAGCTGATCTAGAAGGAGATATAAAGATAAAGGTAAAGGTTCCCATCGCACATATGTGCTAGTTGTTCCTGACTCTAGGGGGCAGTGCTCATCTCCGTTTCAAAGCTGAAGAGCCAGCGCTGTCTGAAGATGTCTCCGTAGTCCTGTGGCTGGCATGACTCAACGCCAAAGGTGCACGGAACGCTGTTCCCTTCCCACCAAAGGTGGCCCCTATTTTTCTACTTGCATTTTTTACGTACTTTCGAACTGCTAGGTTGGCAGAAGCTGGGATACAGAACGGGAGCTCACCGCGTTATGCAGCACTAGGGATTCGAACCGCTGAACTGCTGACCTTTTGATTGACAAGCTCCTTTACCTTTTTATTAAAAAAAGATCTTTGCAGTTGAAATGAAAAAACTTGCATTTGATTCTGCCAAGGATGACATTCAGGCTCTACTGGTTCTAATTCCATTATTTTGCTCTTGCATTTTTTTTTCTTTGCTGTCTTTTTCCAGTAAGTCTCATGGCAGTTGTGCCTGCCTCTGTCCAGCATCACCTCACTAGAGCCTTCTAAAAATATAGCTATTTTTTTAAAAAATCTGATCTCTGATCCGAATGAGCAAGAAGGAGAAGTAGATATAACCTCTTAGTTATCCTGAGACTAAATCAGATAAGGAGAGCACAAGAAGCTCTATTTATTGAGAAATAAATCCCAAAATTAAGTTTTTTCCCCCGCTTGAAGCTGTAGTTTTGCAGTGGGGTAAAGAATGGATAAACAAGGGGGTTTCAGAACGGCAATCATATTTGGGTTTTTTTTTTCCTTGGGTGAATTTTATTTTTGTTGGCAAAAGCATGAGTGAAAAACCAGCTTCAGATAAAGGATCCTTAGGGCCTCTCCGGAGAATCGTAATAGGCCGATATCTCTGTACTTGTGGTATATCTTAGGGAAAAGGCTGGGAGGAGAATAACCCATAGCATTCATTAAAATTAATTTTTAAAGTGTTTACATCCAAATATTAGAGCTGCCTAATGTCCTTCGTTTGGGCATAAATTAGAAATGTGTTAACAAAAAACAAAAACCTCAATGAAATAAAAAGAGGGGGGGGAAAAGGATAGGCATATCGCTGTTGGTAAATTATTTAAAGAATGCTTATTTGTTTTAGCAAGCTATACCCCAGCGCAGTTTGACTTGTGATCATAAATTTACAACTTACTATAAATCCATCCTTATGTCCTGCTTAGTTCAAAACCACAAAACCACTTCAGGAATTTAAGGGAAGAACCAAATCCAAATGAGTTGGGGGGGAGACACATACACCCTCCACCCCTTTTGATTTTCTCAAATAGAACTTTTTAAGTCATGGTGGAATGCCAAAATTATGGAACAGATCAAGTGTGGGATTAGGTCCTATGGTTTTCCCCATGGCTCTTTCATTGGGGGAAGAAGGTCCCATGGGGTGGGATAGAAGATAGGACCCCATAAATCTGTGGTTATTGCCCACTCCAAACTGCCTCTTGGAGTTTGACAGTTTGATGGTTGCCATGATGTCCTACAGGCATGAACATCATAACTTAAGTAAGGTCTTAAGTCATACATCTAGGCTAGAAGACCTCCAAGGTCTCTTCCAGATCTGTTACTCTGTCTCAGCTGCAACAGAGAAATTTATAATTAAGGCTTCTAAACTGTGGTTTCCTATATGGGGCAAGTTCAAAACGGGCTACCAATCCACCAGAGCTGCCAGAAGGCAAGAGCTGCTAAAGCAAAAGGAACGACTCGGGAATAAGGCCAGGAGATGATTGGCCCCTCCCATAAGGCTTAAAAGAGAAACAAAGGAACTTGGGCCTTTTGCACGAAAGCAACATTGCTAACTCTGTTTCCAGTCGGCACCTCTTGTTTGTTTCTGAACTTCGTGGGGCTTTGCCAAGTAAGGCCTTCGGCAGGGTGTCAAAGAAGATAAAGGTTGGTGATTCTCCCGAAGGACTTCTTTCGAAGAACTTGTTTTGCAATTAATTGGGACTCAGCTGGGAATGAAGTAATTCTCAGCTGTTACAATAAAATAGGTTTATTTATTACTAATTGTGTCTTGTAATGACTCAGGAAGCTTAGGTCACAACAGGGATGGTACCTTGTTTTAGTTTGGCAAGATTCTGTCTATAGGTGAGGACAGTCATGAAATTTGCTTGAAAGAATCTCGACGTGTCTTTCTTGATTTATAAAGCCTGGCAGAATCTATAATTCTACATCATACAAGATGGGGAGATGAATAATCCAAAGAATCTATAAATGCTTAAATATGTTTTGTCTTTCTTTGTAGTGGCCTTCCATTGCCAACAGCACACAACACTGTCCTCATACATTCCAGTGGCGGATCCGGAAGTTCCAGTGAATCTGAAAGTAGTTCGGAATCCGATTCAGACAGCGAAACCAGCTCCAGCGATAGTGAATGCAATGAAGAATCACGTAGCGGAACTCCGGAGGTAAAATACTGCAATGTCCATCTCCAGAATTCACCTGTCTATGTAACAATTGGGTTTGCGAGTGGAAATTCCAGCTCTTCTCCAATGAAAACTGCCCAAGCTTTTCGAGCAAAATCTGGAATCTGTTTAAAGTTACTTGCGGACTCGTTTCCTGAAGAGCTAGGGGTATAGCTGTTCGCACCCCCCAACATCCGCACAGTTATTTGTTTAATTACACGAAGGTAGGTGTGGGGGGAAACTGAGATATACGTTCAGCTTTTGACAGCTTGCCCTCCAAAAGTATGTCTGAACTGAGCCTACTTTTAAATGTAGCAAAGACGAAGCCATCTTCTTAACCATAAGAATTAATAAAGGTACTCCTGTATTAAATAATTTTCCTCTTTTTTTCACACTAAACATTCCAGTTTTGTAGTAGCGTTTGCAGAATTCCTGTGGCCACATTCACATGATCTATATCTTTCTCCTTGGAAAATAAAGAATGCCCAAATATTTTAATTTAAAATATGGTATCCTAAGTTTTAAGAAGAAAGGTTTTTAAGAAGAGATTGGAAAAACCATTTATCTGAAATGGTGCATAGGGTTTCCTGCCTAAGCAGGGGATTGGACTAGAAGACTTCCAAGCTCACTTCCAACTCTTGTTATTCTGTTAATTGGCCTTAAACCTTCATGGAACGAAACAGATGCACAGTTCTTCACTTAGGAAATGTTGAGATAGTGTTTTGTCGGAAATATTCTGAGATTGCAATTGATAGTGGCGGGAAATGGGTCATAACTACAAAAATACAATTACATATTTAGCGAATATATATTTAGCCTACATTAACAGAAGAAGAGTTTTCAATGGCTTCCGAGGACGTCATTGTTAAATTGCTTTATCAGGAGGCACCTGGACTTCCTTGTTTTTCTTCGAAGATGTTTTACTTCTCATCCAAGAAGCTTCTTCAGCTCTGACTGGATAGTGGGGAATGGAAAGATTGTACTTTCCATTCTCTGAGGACACAAATAAGTCTCCAAGTGGCCTCAATGACCCTTTAAAAGGATGCAAATGACCAGCTGTCTGCAAGGAGTATACATCCTCCCATTCCCCAACATTCCATCAGAGCTGAAGAAGCTTCTTGGATGAGGAGCAAAACATTTTCAAAGAAAAAACCAGAGAGTCCAGTTGCCTCCTGAAAAAGTACCTTTGGGACAAGCATGACCTGGAGGACTGAAAATTTCCATAGACATTTAAATTGCTTTAGTTTTTCGTTCTGTCTAGACTGTGTATGGACAGGTGTGTGGACTTCAAATCCCAGAATTCAACAGTCAACATGGCCATTCATGAGAATTCTGGGATTTGAAGTCCACACACCTAGAAATACGTGTATCATGGCTGATTTGGAAAAAGTAAGCCGGGCTCTACCAATGGGATCAATTTGTTGTCCCTTTTTTTGCAATTTGTGTCTTCCTCAGCCTGAACCCCCCTCAGCTAACAAATGGCAGCTGGACAAATGGCTAAACAAAGTCAATCCTCACAAGACGATCATCAGCAACCAACATGACGGTCACGGGGAGAACAGCGTTCCGTCCCAGGCCGGGCCTCAAATGGAAGGACAAAACAAAGGGAAGGTTAACAACAGCTTGTCCCTGACCGATTCCAAAGACAGGGCCCTCCGCAGCCCCATCCGAGAGAAAGCCAAACCCCGAGTGGCCCAGAAAACCCCCGCCGATGTGAAAAGTTCCAAGCAGAAATCCCCCATGCACAATGAGCCGGTCCCCCAAAGGACGACTGGGAAGAAACAACCCAAAAAAGTCGAAAGAACTTCCAGCGCGGAAGATTACAATTGGCCCAAACCAAATATGACCAGCAGCACCCCCAAAGAGAAGGAGGCACAAGAGAGCCCAGAACAGGCCAAACTGAGGGCCAAGATGGCCGCCGGGAAAACCGCTCCGAGGAAGGAACCTAGAGCCACCACCATCCCGCCTCTGGAGAAGAAAAAGTACAGAGGTCCCAGCAAAACCTTTCCCAAGTCGCGGGAGTTTGTGGAAACAGATTCGTCCACCTCGGATTCCAACACCGACCATGAAGAGAGTCTGCAGGCCAAGAGCCTGCAGGGAGGGAGCGGCTCGGACAGCGGCATCAAAGCCAAGGACTCCAGCAGCAACATCCTCAGCGTCAGCAGTTTAATGAGCAATAACAGCAACACTTCGGTGGACCAGAACGGGCCGGATTTGGAGGAACAGTTTTTTTCACCTCTTCCCATTGTTCAGAATGAACCCCTGTCCCCCTTGAAGGATTTTGAAGAACTCAAGTACCTTTGGGTGAAAATAGATCTGAGTTTCCTCTCTCGGGTCCCCGGGCAAGATCTGGACTTTGAGAACGTCTCTGGAAAGATGGAACCTCGAGAGGTGAACATCAAGCATCGGCGACAGGCGCCTGACTCTCCCTTGCCCCCGGCTGAAAAACCATCTGCTAAAACCAAAAGGAAGCACAAAGTAAGTTCCTTTATTCCCTCTCATGAAGATTTGTTGTTGTTAGTTGTGAAGTCATATCCAACCCATCGCGACCCCATAGACAACGTTCCTCCAGGCCTTCCTGTCCTCTACCATCCTCTGATCTATCTATCTATCTATCTATCTATCTATCTATCTATCTATCTATCTATCTTAGTTGTTAGTTGCAAAGTCATGTCCGACCCATCGCGACCCCATGGACAACATTCCTCCAGGCCTTCCTGTCCTCTACCATCCTCCGGAGTCCATTTAAGCTCACGCCGACTGCTTCAGTGACTCCATCCAGCCACCTCGTTCTCTGTCGTCCCCTTCTTCTTTTGCCCTCAATCTTTCCCAGCATTAGGCTCTTCTCCAGGGAGTCCTTCCTTCTCATTAGGTGGCCAAAGTATCTGAGTTTCCTCTTCAGGATCTGGCCTTCTAAAGAGCAGTCAGGGTTGATCTCCTCTAGGACTAACCGGTTGGATCGCCTTGCAGTCCAAGAGACTTGCAGGAGTCTTCTCCAGCACCATCGTTATTTTAATGTCCCTGATATTCCGCCACCCCCCTTGTGAACTCCTTTAGCCCTGATTGTGGGAATTTAAAAAGCCAGGTAGGGCTTTTGATGGAGTAAGGATAACATAAAGAAACACAGATTATTTATATGCATCCTTTCAAGCAGAATTACTTTCAAACGTTGGGGGAAGAAACCGCCAAAGCAGCTTTTTTTTCTTCCCACCATCGCATCGAATAAGAATATTTTTTAAAAAGCCGAATACATTTTTTTGGCACAGCACTTATTAGAAAAGAGTTTAGGATATCACATGAGAGCTTTGCAAGACAGGGGAAAAAAAACAGTCTTGAGTAATCAAATGCATCTCCTGGGTTTAATCTCATGCTACATCTTTGTCGGTTTTATTTTGTTTTGTTTCATTTTTACTGTTTAGAGCATTAGGACAAGATTTCTCTCCGTTTTAAATAGGCATCCATCCATCAAAGTCAAAAGCAGGGAAGCTTTCTGGCAACATTTGCTGAGTGTTGTCTTTATTGCAGATAGAACCAAACAAAAAAAAAATTGAGGGGGGGGATTTTGTTACATAAACACCTGTGATTTATCAAAACACCATTCACTTAAATAAGCATCTTTATTCTATTTATTATTTTTCTTCTTTTCTTGCTGCATTTTTCCCTTCCCCAACCACTACTTGCAAAGCAGAATCTTTTGGGAGTTCAGGAGACAAAGCTTTTATTGTGGGTTTGATATGATTTACATCCAGGGATGTATTGCTAAGGGCAGGGGTGGGCTTCAAAAGTTTTAGCAAAGGGTTCTCTGCCCAGTTGCTTGGTGGGTGTGGCCATGGTGGGTGTGGCCTAGTCGGCCTTCTGCACCACAGTGTGTGTGGGGGGGTGTTTTTGTCCTCCCCGGGCTCCAGAGGTTTCTCTCAAGCCTCCGGGAGGGCGAAAATGACCTCCCCAGGCTCCAGAAGCCCTCCAGAGGCTGGAAACGGGCCCATTTCTGTCCTTCCCAAACTTCCGGTTGGCCCGTTTTTCGCCCTCCTCGAGCCTCTGCGCACGTCCTGCACTTACCTGCATCCAAAACAGGCCACATGGGGACTCCTGGAAGGGGAGGGGAGGGGTGGGCAGGGCCAACCAGGAGTGGGATTTGGGGGTTCTCTGAACTGCACAAAATCTTAGCTAAAGGTTCTCCCGAACCTCTGCGAATCCCCAGCAGAGGGGATCCACCACACTTAACCACTGGTTAAGTGTGGTGGATATGACTTCAAACTGAAATGTGCTTTTGGGACAAGAGAGGTAGGGCAAGAAATCTCCACACTGAATATTTGCAGCCAGGATTTTTGTGTTTGCAGTTTTTTTAAATCTACTTGCAATTGTCGTTGCTGATCCAAAAAAAGGGCCTGTTTTTTAGCCTTTCCCAGAAGGAAAAGAGAATAAATTGGGACAAAAGTCTGTCTTTCATCTCTCTCTCTCTCTCTCTCTCTCTCTCTCTCTCTCCCTCCCTCTCTCTCTCTCTCTCTCTTTGCTAAAGATGAAATAGGACATTTCAGAAGCCGCCATCCTTGACAGGTTTTACAGAATTAAACTGGGGTGCTAAAAATATTAGCTGAATCAATCTGGACAGTTTAGAGTGCCAAGTGGCACTCATTCTAATTTCATGCATATTTGGGCAATCCAGAGATGGAAGGCCCTGTCTAGGCAAGAAAAATCTTGGGAGGGTGAGACAGAGAGAGGGGGGAGAGAGAGGGGGGGACAGAGAAGGAAAGAAGTGTGGGGTGGCGAGAAAGAAAAGTGAGATAAAAGACAGGGAGAGGAAAGGGAGAAAGAATGACACAAGGAGAGAAGTGATTAAAAGCAAGCAAAGAAGAAAAAATCAGAAAAGAGGAGATTGACGGATTGATTGATTGATTGATTGATTGGGTGTTGTCAAGCCAGTGTTGAGTTCTACAACCATGGAGGCAGATGTTCTCCATGTTGATGATCTGTCCCTTACCTGGTCTTTTAGGTCTTCTAATGGTGAAAGAGGGAGGGAGGGAGGGAGGGAGAGAGAGAATGAGAGAATTAGATGCCAGCAATAGAGAAAGAGGACATCTGCTCATTGGTTCTAGTCCTTCTGCCTCTCCAGAAAAGATGGTTCTTGATCCCACTCCTATTGTGACCAGCTACACCATAGTCAACTCATTCAAACGGGGTTGGGTTTAGTCCCAGATAGTTCCAAACTTGCCTAGGGTTCACCACATTCCACCCAACCAGCCATGTTATGGAACTCCAAAACCTTTTCAACTGTCCCATTTTATCTATCCAGGACGTACGCCATGAAAAAGATCTAGAGAGACATTAAGAAGAATCATTGCCCATGGCTTTAGTCACATCACAGATCTCAAACACGGCTTGCAATGGCCAAACCAGGCCATTTTTCTCTCTCCTCAGCCAGTGGAGAAGAAGTGAGGGATATCCTGAAAGCCTTGTTGAGGTTCTCCTCTTGCAAGATCTCATGGACACCACTTGCAGAAAGAGGGAGGGTGGGTTCCTCAAGGGATTCTTCACCACAGTGCATGAGATCATGGGTAGCTAGACTCACCAGTAAGGTGATTTCACCAGGATACGACTGTTTGGGTGGCAAGAACGATTTGATTTCATCCGTTGTTGAAAAGGTGATTGTCAGGCCTGGAAGCCATCTTTCTCATTGCATCTTCAGGCCTGCCACATTTACTACCATGGGAAATTGGGAGGGGGGATTGTATGGCGCCATGGTGATATATATAGTCATCATAACATTCCTTTCTCAAAGAGTCAAGGACATTTTGCCCTGCACCTGGAGGGCTGAAACTGGGAGGCATCTCCAATTGGGATGGTGCTTGGATTGGACCATGTGATGGATCATGTGGGCGCTGGGCAGGGACTTGGACTTTCCTTTGGGTGGGATGGCACAGAGCCAGGATGATATGTAGGCAAAATAACATTCCTTTTTCAGAGAGTCAAGGACATCTTGCCCTGCACCTGGAGGGCTGGACCTGGGAGGCATCTCCAATTGGGACGGTGCTTTGATTGGACCATGTGATGGACCATGTGGGCGCTGGGCAGGGACTTGGAAAACCTGGAAGCTCTCAGATTCGGATTTTCCCAGATGTGCCAATACGACATCTCTAATAAAATGGAACTTTGAGGAAACTCAAACCTCAGAGTCTTCTTTCATTGGGGGTATTACTTGGAACCCTGACAGTGATGCGATAAGAAGCATAACCATTTTCTGGTTTCTCTCCTTCTGATCGAAGCAGTCGGAAAATGTGGGCACATTCGGCGACAGCAAGAAACAACGTTTAGAAGAGTCTACGGCTTCCTGCTTGCTTCCACCCTGCATTTCACCGATACCCAACCATAGAATACCCAGCATAAAAGAGTATGTTTTTTCTCCTACGTTTTCTCAGTAGATCTAACTGAATTAGTCCAGGAATTTTTAGCTTCAAAAATTCCATGCCGTTGATAGACCACCTTCCTCGTTTTATTTTATCCCTTTATTTCCCATATTTTGGTCATCTAAGAAACAATGATGACTCCTGGTTACTGCAGTCAACTTAGGGCAGTGATGGCTAACCTTTGTGCCGTTGCGTGCCAAAAGCGGAGAGAGTGCAGGGGGGGTCATGCACACGTGTGTGCCCACACCCAAAATTCAATGCCCCCCACCCACATTCTGCACCCTGCACAGGGCTGTGAGACCCATCCCCTGCGCTCCCCTTGCTTTTGGCATGCGACGGCAAAAAGGTTACCAGTTGGCCCGTAGGCTTTCTTGGAGCCTGGGGAGGGTGAAAACAGCCTCCCACGCCCCCCATAGGCCCTCTGGAGACCGGAAGCGGCCCATTTCCTGACTTCCAGTGGGCCCGGAAGGCCTATTTTTCACCCTCCCCAGGCTCCAGAGGCTTTTTTGGAGCCTGGGGAGGGTGAAAATGGCCTCCCTCCCCCAGAAGCCCTCTGGAGGCTGAAAATGCCCTCCCAGAGCCTCCATGCGAGCCCTAATCTTACCGGGCATTCAGAATGGGCCACGTGGAGACTCCTGGGAGGGGCCAGCCAAAAATCAGATGGCTGGCGTGTGCATGCACCCTGAAGCTGAGCTAGGGCAATGGCTCTCGTGCCCACAGATATGTTTCCACGTGCCACCTGTGGCACGCGTACCCATAAGTTCGCCATCACGGACCTAGAGAAAAGGACTGGCTTCACCCACCTCCTCCGGTTTTATCTCTGTCTGGTCTTTAAACACTAATTTGAAGGATTTATCTTTGACTGATTTTTTTTTTTCCCCTCAACAAAATGAAACCGCTTCTCCCGTCATATTGTTGCACGGCGGTGAAATTTATGTTGAGTAAGTAATCCCGCAATTAACTTAAAACTCATGGCTTTGAAAGCATTGTGAAATAAAACCAGCCCATTCCTAATCTCTCTTATACCTGTGTAATTACTAACTCCACTTAATGCAAATGAATTTATCCTAATTTGCCTTCTTTAACAGACACACACACATCCATCTTTCAAGTCTGAAAATGGCACCGATAACTTAAGCGTGGAATCCATTTAAGGATGATGCAAATGTAATCTTTCAAGCTATAGGTGTTTATCTTTCTCCAACTGCTTGCATCATCTTTTTTTTTTTTTTTAATAATCGTATATTTCCTGCCTTTACCAAACCCTAGAGAGTTAGGCCCCCAACCTGATGTTTCTTAATTTCAGCTTGTTTTCTAGGTCATTAATTTGATTCCTTTGAGCCCTGCAACTATCGGTATCCTCTGTTATAATATAATTGTGTTCATCAATAGTTATTTCCCCAATGTTAGGTCTATATTTCCCCTGGTCCCAGATGTTTCCAGTTGCCAAGAAATTTTTTTCCCCTGATTTTCTTATTAGTTATATTTAACTGAGACTAAGATTGTGGTGTGATCTGTTCTGAATATCCTCCAAGATAGTATTTAACCCAATCGTTTGCTACTTTTTGAATATCATCAGTTATATTCATGTTCTAAAGGTCTCAACACTTACAGAAGGATCAGTAGGAAATCATCTCAATGACTTAGCACTCATGGTCATGGTTCCTCATGAAGACAAGTTTGGCAGTTGTGGCCTAGAACCCAGTCTAGGTTCTAGGTCCACAATTTTTGATCCAAGTTTTTGCATCTTGGTGGCCGATTGTGCTTATCCCACCATTCATTCAACCTTCCCTTTGTTGGCTAGTTAATCTTGTGATTTTGAGTGCATATTCTAAAGCAGGGTTCCTCACTCCACTCCAGCAACTTTCATTGGTGGACTTCAAATCCCAGAATGCATGCTGGCTGGGGAATTCTGGAAGTTGAAGTCCACGCATCTGAATTTGGCTAAGGTTGAGGAAGTCCATTGTTATGGACTTCAGCTCCCAGAATTCATGCCGGCTGGAGAATTCTGGGAGTTGAAGTCCACATAGCTAAACGTTGCTAAGGTTGAGGAACCTCAACCGACCAATTTTATGGCTGAAGTCCATTTTTACGGACTTCAACTCCCATAATTCATGCCGGTGGGGAATTCTGGGAGTTGAAGTCCACACATCTGAAAGCTGCTGAAGTTGAGGAACTCAACCGTCCAATTTTATGGGCTGGTCCATTTTTACAGACTTCAGCTCCCAGATTTCATGCCGGGTGGAGAATTCTGGGAGTTGAAGTCCATACATCTGAAAGCTTCTGAGATTGAGGAACCTCAGTAGTCCATTTTTATAAATGGAAGTCCATTTTTTATGGACTTCAACTCCAAGAATCCATGCCGGGTGGGGAATTCTGGGAGTTGAAGTCCATAAAATTTACTGAGGTTGCGAAACTCTGTTCTAAGGACTGGATTATCAAGAATGATAAGAACATTCCAGTTGTGACTGCAATTGTGTTTGTTTGTTTGTTTACTTGCTAATGGCAACAATTAAATAATAACTGAAATGGATACTGCTTTCATTAGAAACGGACGAGCATTGTTGAATACAGCCAGGTGAGGCAATCAGATTTGCCCCAGTCAAGAATTCAAGCGGCTTTCCTTTTGCTTGTTTGTCTCTGATGTGTTCCTTTGAGGTATTGTAAATCCATAGAAACTTGACACTGACTTAAATTGATTTAAGAGGGAGACATCCATTCTTGTTGACTTAATTTGCTATTGAAAATTTGAGTCGATAATCATGAAAAGTAAATGGCAGGAGAATGCAGTATGAGTTGACTAAGGAAGGATTAAAATCCAAGTAATCTTCATTGACTGAACTAGGACAGTAACTAAAATAATAATAATAATAATAAAACCCCATGGTCGGATTAACATGTTAAAAGAGTCAGCTGGCTCTATTTTTATTTTATTTTATTTTTTCTTCCTTTCCTTTTATTCACAGCCAAAGTTTAAAGGGTAGGATTATTTTTTTTTCCCTGTCCTGGGGAAGGAGGTACAGGAAGTAGTCCTTGATTTATGACCACCATTTTTTTTCATTGCTAAGTGAGAGAATCGTTAAGTGTACCCCCCCCCCCCCATTTTTTCCCCTTTCGTGCCCCAATTCTTAAGTGAAACCCTGAAAGTTGTTCGGTTGGTAACATGGTCATTAAAAACAAATCGGGCTTCCCCGCTGAGTTGGCTTTTTTTCAGGGCTGTTGTAACTTCGAATGGTCACTAAATGAACTGCTGCAATTCGAGCACTGCCTGTCCAACTTTCACAGCCCATCCCAATCCTGGCCAACTCTGAACAAGCATCCTAAGAAACAGAAGTTTGAAAGCTCCCGTTGATTTTACCTCTGAATTTTGATCATGTGACCGAAGTAGGGATGGTGCAACAGTCATAAATGTGGAAAACGGTCATAAGTCACTATTTTCGGGGCTGTTGTAACTTCAAAACAGCCTCTAAAATGAATGGTGGAAAGTTGAGGGCTGCCTGTATATGTTTGCTAAAACTCTTGGCTTCGCTTCTTCTTTGACAGAAGCAACTCCATGAAAAAAGTGACCAAAAAGAGAGAAGAAAAACTCTTCCCACCTCCGTTGTCTCCTTTGATGGACGAGGCAGCTCCGCGGCATAACATCTTGGACAACGGCTCCTTCAACCAAGAGAACTCCCTACCAAGCTCCTTGCAGAGCAACGCCTGCTCCAAACACAGGAAGAACGAGAACAAATCTTCTGTCAACTCCAAGGGAATCAGTGTAAGTGTCGAAGTGACGTCCCCACTTGGACCAAGTTCCTATCCTTACACGTGAGCCATTTATGGTGGAGGCTGAGCAATGTTTTGAAGTGAAGGAAATCCTAGATTCCCGAAGGCATCAAGGAAATCTACAATATTTGGTGGCATGGGAAGATTTTTCTGCTGTCCAAAACGAGTGGGTTAATCAACGCCCCTAAATTAGTCCCCTAGATTAGAGGGGTGATTGTTCTTATAAAGTCATGTCTGACCCATCGTGACACTCTGGACAATGTTCCTCCAGGCCTTCCTGTCCTCTACCATCCCCTATCATCTTCCTCCAGGGAGACCTTCCTTCTCATTAGGTGGCCAAAGTATTGGAGTTTCCTCTTCAGGATCTGGCCTTCTAAAGAGCAGTCAGGGTTGATCTCTTCTAGGACTGACCGGTTTGAATCGCCTTGCAGCAAGGGTGAAATGCTATCAGTTCGGTCCGGTTTGTGCAAACCGGCAGTGATAAAAACTACCGGTTCGAGCGAACCGGTAGTAAAAAAAAAAAAAGCTACCAGTTCGGTCAAACTGGTATTGCTGACAATCAGCTGTGCAGCAGAGTTTAGCCTTGCTAAAAAGCAGGAAATCCTGCTTTCTAGCAAAGCTAAATTGCGCGCCTCAGCTGATCCCCCCCTTGCTGTTCTACTTACCTTTCCAAGTCTCCTTTTGGTGTGTACTGCACATACGCGCGTGCACAGAGCACACATTTGGTGCACACTGCACATGTGCATGCAGCAGATGTTTGGCGCGCAGTGTGCATGCGCGGCCAGCGAACCGGTACCAAGCCAGTTCGGATTTCACCACTGCCTTGCAATCCAAGGACTCACAGGAGTCTTCTCCAGCAGACCAAGGGACAGAGGGTTTAGATCCCCTAAATTAGTCAAACAGTTTCACAACCAATACCATGATAAAAGGGGGACAACCAAGATGTTAGCCACCCATCGTCCTCCTTGAAATTTTCCACACCAACTACTCTTGACCGTCCTCACCTTGGTCATGCAAAATTCAAGAGAAGCTGCACAGCACTGATCTTTACTCTGTGGTTTAACTTCTCTGATTGTAAAAGGGCAGGGGAATCGAGAGTTATCTTTTCCCGTGGCAACCCTTCTGCTCTCGTCTGGCGCCGGGCCTAATCGTTGGATACTTGTGAGTTTTCGCCTTGCTGTTTGCCTCCCAACATTTTAATTTTAATAAGCCGGCGATGCTACAAGGCACCCATGCTGACATTACACCTTGGAAGAAGTGGGTGTTAATGATGCTGGGCATAGGAGCAGTATGGAGCCGATGGCACTTAATTAATTTGCTGAGCTTGACTTAGCGACATGCAGTCCAAGACAACAAAGAGCTGGATTTTAATTTCAAGGCACGCGCGCTCGCATGACGGGACGTGTAAAGGTATTCTTAGCGTGAAGGCTGAGGCGGCTAATTAAAATTGCTTTCTGCAGGAAGAAGATGCTCACAGCAGGCCTTCGAATCCTTTGCTGGAATCCAGCCACCTCGACAACGATCTCTGGTTGACAAGTCCCACCTTCACCAACGGGAATCCTGAATTGAGAAGACCCAAGATAACATTTGATGATATGTTAGTTACTTATTCGTTATGACTGTATTCGTAATTTTTTGGGTTGGCTTGGAGCAAAAATTTGCATTGCTTTGAGCTACTTTAGCCTCAGAATGCTCTTGTTGTACACAGCCTGAGTTTTGATTGTGTTGAGTTGCGTTGAATTTGGGGGGGGCTTGACTCCTACAGCAGTGGTGGGTTGCTACCGGTTCGCCCCGGTTTGGGCGAATCGGTAGCGATGGCGGCGGGAGACTACACCCACTCACTCACCTGGACGCTTTTGCGCATGCAAAGTGAACTGGTAGTGATGGGATTTGCAACCCACTACTATCCTACCACCACATGGACAGAACCCTGCGATTCTCTGGGCAACATTTTCAGAAATTGTTTACCCTTACCTTCTTCCTAGAACTGAGAGAGACCAACCCAAAATCACCCAGTTGGCATTTGTCCTTATGCAGGACACACCGTTGGGTTTTCCGAACCCTGGCCCGGTTTTGAATGCAATTCAGACCAGACCAAAAATCCCACCTGGTCATTTAAAGTTTAGCCTTCTAAATGATCCAGGGGAGGTCCTATAATTGTCTCATTTGAAGTTACAAAAGGCAGAAGCTGGAGGAACTTTGTGCAATGACTAGAGATTGGACGAATGAAAGAAACACACACATTTGCAGGGATAGAAAACTTACTGTGCATGTATTTAGAAGTTGGAAATCTTGATACGTTTAGCAGAAGTCCTTTGCAGTCAGCTTCTTCCAAGATATTCTTTGGACTTCCCAGTCTGGTCTACGGCTCTCAGATTCCCAACTGGTCTCCCGCCCTGAGGTGGGATTCAAAAAATTTAGCAATCGGTTCTCTGCCCAGTTGCTGGGCGAGCGTGGCCTACTCAGCCTCCTGCATCACAGCCGAGGAGGGGGGTGTTTTCACCCTCCCCAGGCTCTGCGCAGGTACTGCACTTCCCTAGCATCCAAAATGGGCCATGTGGAGATTCCTGGGAGGGGAGGGGTAGGTGGGGCCAGCCAGTCCTTGGAACTACCGGTTCAGCGAACCAGATGTAAAATTAGCATCCGGTTCTGGAACGAGTCACAAGAGTGAAGAAAGCAAAGTGCTATGTATATTTACATGATGATGATTAGAAGATGGACAGGATTAAGGCAAGCCCTGTAAGCATGAAGTCTAGATCAGGCCAATTGCAAGAGCTGAAGTCCCATCAGTTGCTTCTTCTGATCGCTGTTGTTGTGTCTTCCCAGGCTTCACAATGCTGATTACTATATGCAAGAAGCCAAAAAACTCAAGCATAAGGCAGATGCTTTGGTAAGTCTCTTTCACTCTACCTGGTTGGGTGGCTGATTCAGCAGAGAATTCATATATGCCAGAAAGGATTTTTTTTTTTTTAATTTGATTTATATGCTGCCCTTCTCCGGAGACTCAGGGTGGCTTACAATGCGTTAAGCAATTGCAACACATTTGTGAGCCTTATTAACGGTGCATTAAATTGTGCTAATTATTAGTATGCAATGCAGCACCGTTCATTAACAGGAATGCCCGCCGTGGGGGCAGTAATGCAGAGAATTCTCTGGGCCAGCTTGGCATCCAGTTTTGGTCGCCACGATGTGAAAAAGTTGTTGAGACTCTAGAAAGAGTGCAGAGAAGAGCAACAGAGATGACTAGGGAGCTGGAGGCTAAAACATATAAAGAACAGTTTCTGGAATTGTGTATGTTTAGTTTAATGAAAAGAGGGACTAAGGGTGAGATGATATCTCAAGGGCTGCCACAAAGAAGAGGGAGTCAAGCTATTCTCCAAAGCCCCTCAAGGCAGGACGAGAAGCAACGGATGGAAACTAATCAAGGAGAGAAGCAACCTAGAACTAAGGAGAAATATCCTGACAGTCAGAACAATTTGATCATGTCACGTGATCAAAATTCAGACGGTTGGCCATTGACTCAAATTTATGATGGTTGCAGTGCCCCGGAGTCACTGCTTCGCTTTTTGAGACCTTCCTGACAAGCAAAATCAACGGGGAAGATAGTTATTCACTTAACAACTATCACACTAACTTAACTGCTAATTACCACGATTGACTTAACAACCGGGGCAAGAAAGTGGGGCAAAAGTCATTGAACAAACATCTCACTTAGCAACAAAAATTTGGGACTCCGTTGCAGTCGTAAGTCAAGGCCTACCTGTATCTAGATTGGGAAGGACGGGAGCCCAAAGAGCTACAGAACTGGAATGCACACAAGGACTCAGATTTCTAGCAGAAATGAAACATGTCGCCCTTAACCGATCTGGAAAACCAACCAAAACAGGTCGCTTCAAATTCCTTTTATTTTTCAGCTGGAAAAATTTGGCAAAGCGGTGAATTATGCCGACGCGGCGATCTCCTTCATTGAATGCGGGAATGCTATGGAGCGAGATCCATTAGAGGCAAAATCTCCCTACACCATGTACTCCGAGACGGTGGAACTCATCAGGTTAATGCCTTTTCTGTGATTCAACGTATAATTAGAAAGTTGCTTCATTTTTTTAAGGATCATTCTGATCTGATTAATGGTTAGTCCAAGGCTTCGTCAGCTCAGAAGTCATCATAATTAGTCCTTTCCTCCATTTTATGAACGCCACGGAAAATTTATAATGGATGGACCCTGTTCTTATAAATTAGCCCTGTTAGGCAATAATCAGGGTGTTGTATAATTTGCAATATTCATGTAATTAAAATTGAAACGCAGTGGATGGAAGTTAAAGCATCATAATTCCAGCGTTGAGCTGTCACATTTATCTCAGAAAGGGTTAGTTTGATCGTTCCAAATATTAAAGAGAGAGCGTTGAGGTCTCGGTTATAAATTCTGCCTTTTTAGAGTTTATCAATTAGCCGTAAAATAATTGTCCCAGAATGAATTTTGGCAGATAAGGGCTTCAGTTTACAAACATTTGTTTAGATATGACCAGAAAGGAAGAGGGAAAAACAGAAATGCATCCAGTTTATAGTCAATAAGAGTGTTTATATATTTATTTACTGAAAATATCTGTATAGTGTCACCAAGCAGAAAATTCTCTCCAAACTTAAGACTTGAGGACTTCAACTCCCAGAATTTCCCAGCCAGCATAGATCAAAAAGAGCTTCCATAACCAGAATATCATACACACTGCCGTTCACCTCCACTCCATTATTTCCTGGTTAATGAAGTTGCCGGAATACCTTAAAACTTTCTTATGCGAGAGTGAACTCTGTTACTTATTCTTAACATAAGCACTGTGAAATTGTATTAAGGCTCAGAACAATGGTTTTTATGGGATGATGATCTGATTTTCAGAAGGTTGAGTGTGCAGGGAACATGGGAGTGAAAAGCTCCAGAGAAGGGAAGTTGAAGATAGATAAAGACGATAGATAGATAGATAGATAGATAGATAGATAGATAGATAGATAGATAGATAGATAGATGGATGGATGGATGGATGGATGGATGGATGGATGGATGGATGGATGGATGGATGGATGGATGGATGATAGATATAGATGATAGATAGATAGATAGATAGATAGATAGATAGATAGATAGATAGATAGATAGATAGATAGATAGATAAATAGATAGATAGATAGATAGGTAGGTAGGTAGGTAGGTAGGTAGGTAGGTAGGTAGACAGACAGACAGACAGACAGACAGAGAGAGATAGATAGATAGATAGATAGATAGATAGATAGATAGATAGATAGATAGATAAATAGATAGACAGACAGACAGACAGACAGACAGATAGATGATAGAGACAGACAGACAGACAGACAGCAGGACAAGAAGCAACGGATGGAAACTAATCAAGGAGAGAAGCAACCTGGAATTAAGGAGAAACTTCCTAACTGTGAGGACAATTAACCAGCGGAACAGAAGTTGCCTTCAGAAGTTGTGGGTGCTTCATCATTGGATGTTTTTAAGAGACTGGAAGGTTACTTGTCTGAAATGGTATAGGGGCTTGAGCAGGGGGTTGGACTAGAAGACCTCCAAGGTCCCTTTCAACTCTATTCTGATCGAGTGAAGGTATTTCTCCTACTGTGTTTATCAAGGGTGGCAGCTGCTCTCTGGAAGGGCAGTGGATGTCCTGCTGCTTGTTTACACCTCTGAGATCATTAAGTTGTTTTTTGGGGTACCACCATTGTTCCTTGATGTCACCTGTTCAACCTCTTGTCTTCCATCTCTCTCGGAAGGTACGCCATGAGACTTAAGAACTTCACGGGGTCTTCCGCCACAGAAGGAGACAAGAAACTTGCAGTCCTCTGGTGAGACATTGTCCTTCTTTCTCAATTGTCTTGTTATTAAAGTTGATTAAAGCTTCCATTGAAGACCAGAATTTAGACCCTTGTGACTTCTCTCTCTTCCCTCAATATTGCTTGCCATTTCTTCCTCTTCTTTTCTTTTTCCTTCTCCCCTGGGACTCCCGCCGTCTGCCTCTTCCTCACTCTTTCCCTTACAAGCAATCCTCCACTTACAATCAGATTTGGGAGTAGAATTTCCGTTGCTAAGGGAGTCCTTTGCAACCTGTACTTGCACAGTTCTTCAGCAAATCACTGCATTCGTTGAGTTAAGCCACGGTTGGTAAGTGAAGCTAGCTTTCCCACTAACTTTGTTTGCCGGAAGCCATCTGAGAAGGTCACAAATGACGATGATGTGACCCCGTGGATGTTGCAAACATTGCAAATTCAAGCCGGTTGCCAAGTGCCCAAATTTGGATCATGCGACTGTGGGGATTCTGGAACAGTTGTAAGTGTGAGAACTGGTTGTAAGTCACTTTTGCAACTTCAGTTATTAAACCTAAACAAGTGGTTGTAAGTCAAGAAATATTTGTATTCAAATGGCTCTCTCATCCCTTTTTTTCTTTTACTACCTTTCCTTCCTTCCTTCTTTCCTTCCTTTTTTCTCTTTCCTTCCTTTCTTCTGTTCCTTCCTTCCTTTTTTCTTCCTTCCCTTCCTTCCTTCTTTCTTCCTTTCCTTTTTCTTTCTTTTCTATCCTTTCCTTTCTTTCTTTCTTCTTTCTTTCTCTCCTTCCTTCTCTCCTTTCCTCTTTCTTTCTTCCTTTCTTTCTCTTTCCTTCCTTTCTTCTGTTCCTTCCTTCCTTCCATCCATCCATTCATTCCTTTCTTTTTTCTTTCTTCCCTTCTTCCCTTCTTTCTTTTCTTTCTTTTCTTTTCTTTCCTTTCTTTCTTCTTTCTTCCTTCTCTCCTTCCTTCTCTCCTTTCCTCTTTCTTTCTTTCATTCTTTCTTTCTTTCTTTCCCTATATTGTCTCTTGTCTCTTTGTAAAAAAAACTTGTAATAAAAACTATTTTAAAAATAGGTCAGTATTAACCCAACGTGGTTTTCCACCGTGGTTGGTGCCCACAGATTACATCTTTGGAAAATAACGTCAAGTTTGTGTTTGTGTGTGTTTCCAAATTACTATAGCTACCGCTGCTTATCCCTTCTCTATCTGAGAATGTTTAAACTGAAGAAGGATCACGCAATGAAGTATTCCAGATCCTTGATGGAATATTTTAAGGTAATTGACATTTAATTGCTTTTTATGCAGAAAGGAGAGAGGGAGGGAGGGAGGGAGGGAGGGAGGGAGAGAGAGAGAGAGAGAGAGAGAGAGAGAGAGAGAGAGAGAGAGAGAGAGAGAGAGAGAGAGAGAGAGAGAGAGAGACTATGTTTTTGCAGCTGGGACACAACAGTTTGTTCATGTTTTCAGCCACCAAAGATTATAAAGGGTGAAATAGCCTCAGGAGATGCTGGCCGAGGCGAAGAGCACCGGGGAGGGGAGGGGCGAGGGGCGGGGCCAGCGAGCGGGCGGATCAGCCAGTTCTCCGAACTGCATGCAAAGTTAACAACCGGTTCAGTTGAATCGAGCCAAACCGGCTGAATCCCATTTCTGGTGAAACCTTGACATTAAGGGTTTGGGAGGGAACAGGAATAGGAGAAATTGGGGTGGATTCTCCTCCAGAGATCCCTTCAAAGAAGCCGTTCCCCAAAAACAAATAAAGGGTGACTTTGGATACAAGATTTTTATTTTTATTTTTATTGCAAATTACTTTCCTCCACCACCACCACCACCCCCGAAAAAACTTACCTTAAGGCCTCCGCCACAACGCTTGGCTCCAGAATTTTAATAATTAATTAATAATTAATTAATTAATTAATTAATTAATTAATTAATTGGCTCTCTGGACAGAAAGTGCCACCCTACCGGTGATTTTTCACGTGGCCACTTTTGCAAAAAAACAGCCAAGTCTTTGTGTTGTACATGTAAATATATTACCATAATTACAGGGGTGGGCTTCAAAAATTTTAGCAAGGGGTTCTCCGCCCGGTTGCTGGGTGGGTGTGGCCATGGTGGGCACGGCCTAGTCAGTCTCCTGCACCAATGGGGGGAGATTTTGCCCTCCCTGGGCTCCAGAGGCTTTCCTCGAGCCTCCGGGAGGACGAAAACAGCCTCCCCAGGCACCAGAAGCCCTCTGGAGGCCGGAAACGGGCCAATTTCTGGCCTTCTTGAACTTCCAGTATGCCAGTTTTTCGCCCTCCCTGAGCCTCCTGCACTTACCTGCATCCAAAACGGGCCGCGTGGGGACTCCTGGGAGGGGCGGGGGCGGGTGGGCGGGGCCAGCCAGGAGTGGGATTTGGAGGTTCTCCAAACTGCACAGAAACTTACCTAGAGGTTCTCCCGAACCCCAGCAAACCCCCAGCAGCTCACCCCTATATAGATACCTTAACACTGAAACATTCATACTCGTGCTGAAAGGTTTTGAAAGGCAACAGGTTGTATTTACGGGTTCCTGTAACAGACACACCCCTTTGGATTTTAAAAAATGCAAATGGTTATTTGGTTCGCTAAGGTCATTTTATGCTTCCTTCCACTTCATTGGCTCTCTCTCTCTCTTTCTCTCTCTCTCTTTCATTTTTTAACAGAATTCATCCAAAGTTTCACAGGCCCCTTCTCCTTGGGGAGGCAAGTAAGTATCCCTCATTCCTGGAGGGGAATTGTAAAATGGGCTATCGGGAAGAAGCAACATTCCTTGATCGATGAAGATCAGTTGTTAGATTAGGTTTAATGTTCCATGGGTTGATGTTTGACAACGAGAAAAAGTTTTATATTTTGAAGAGCTGTAGTGGCGCAGTGGTTAGAATGCAGTATTGTAGGCTAATTCTGCTGACTGCCAGCAGTTTGGCAGTTCGAGTCTCGCCGGCTCAAGGTTGACTCAGCCTTCCATCCTTCTGAGGTGGGTAAAATGAGGACCCAGATTGTTGGGGGCCATAGGCTGACTCTGTAAACTGCTCAGAGAGGCCTGTAAAGCACTGTAAAGCGGTATATAAGTCTAAGTGCTATTGCTATTGTCCTTCCTTCCTTCCTTCCTTCCTTCCTTCCTTCCTTCCTTCCTTCCTTCCTTCCTTCCTTCCTTCCTTCCTTCCCAGTTGTTAGAATGCAGTATTGCAGGCTATTTCTGCCCAATTTCGATCCTGACCGGTTCAAGGTTGACTCAGCCTTCCATCCTTCCGGGGTGGGTAAAATAAGGACCCAGATTATTGTGGGGAATAGGCTGACTCTGTAAACCATTCAGAGAGGCCTATAAAGCACTGTAAAATGGAATATAAGTCTAAGTGCTATAGCTACTTTCCTTCCTTCCTTCCTCCTTCCTTCCTTCCTTCCTTCCTTCCTTCCTTCCTTCCTTCCTTCCTTCCTTCCTCCTTCCCTTCCCTTCCTTTCCCCATCCATCCATCCATCCATCCATCCATATCAGCTTAAGGTTGACTCAGCCTTTCATCCTTCCAAGGTGGGTAAAATGAGGACCCAGATTGTTGGAGGCAAGAGGCTGACTCTTTAAACCGCTTAGGGATGGCCGAAAAGCACTGTGAAGCGGTATATAAATCTGAGTGCTATTGCTATTATATGGATTGATAAATCCCACATTCTCCTTCAGCCTAATTGAAGACCATAAAGGAGTTGGTTAGGAAGGGCCACACCATTCCAGAAGAACAAAGAAAAGCTTAAGATCAACGTTAATGTCTGTCTCTTCCCACCAACTGTGATTTGTTCAGTAATAAGAGCCAACAATTATTTAATAGGTATATGAAAACCGCTCTGTTACTAAACTGGAAGCATTATGGAACTCAAAGAAGAATGTCTTCGTCCTGTTTTTTGTTTTTGTTTTGCTCTAATTCAGTGCAATGATTTCAACACCTGAAACTCAATTTTATTAACCACATACATATTTGGATCTTGTACACCCGGTGTGTGCCACATGTACTTATTATCAGACGGGCTGCACACGTTGAGATCACCCAAGCTGAACGCAGCCTGTCTACCATGAATAACGTGCCATCCTGAGCGCCTGAGACCATAAAGAACAGGAGGCATTGTCACAACAGAGTCATCCATCATGCTGGGCAGATGCTGATGTAGACAGAGAAGGGAGCCACGGTAGGGTATGAAGGACAATTTGTTTTCCATCCTTGATGGCTTTCCCTTGAACTCTGGGCCAAGGATGCCTCTTGCGGGAAGCAGGTGAGGAGGAAGAAGCGGCTCCATCAGAACCCTTGAGAGAACATGGATCTGGGGCAGAGCAATGTTGCGTGTTGACCAAGATGTTTCATCTCCTGAAGTGGAACTCAACGCATCTTCAGGCTGGGGTTGACGTGTTCAAGCACTGTGCTTCGCTATGTTCTGACCTAGGATTCCCCAAACCACGAAGCAGACTCCTTGTCCCGACAAAAACCCCTTTTTATTAAGTTACGGTGAATTCTTCTCATTCACATCCAGCAAAGTCTTTCAAGGGTGAATTTACAGTCACAGACCTTATCTGACTTGGAGAGCTGCCAGGCCGATATCTTCAAAACTTGGCAAGGAGTCTCGGAGAGTCAGGAACCAATTAAGTGAACTAATTGTCTCCTGCAAACTCCATTCCCCTTTCCCTCCTCTGGGAGGGGCCATTCATCGTCCATCTGTGGCCTTACTCCCAAGTTGACACTTGTTCTTTGGCTGTTCCCTTCGTCTGGCAACTCTGCATGCGGACACTGGGAACAGGCTCCAGCTGCTTGTCTGCCACACTGTTGTCTGATTCCGAAGGCAGCAGATAACTGGCATCCGGCCCTGGCCCCCTCTCTGCCTCCGACGCAGAGCCCTCATCAGAGCCTTCCCCAGACTCTAGGACTGGCCCATGTTCCTCCCCAACCTCCTCACTGTCTGAAACTGCTGCCAGTTCTGCTGGCTGCTGGTGGACCATAACACATTAATGGGGTGGGCAACCTTATTTTTTCCCCATTTTTCACCGCCCAAGATAAGCCATTGAAGGCCACCAAGTACTGTAGATCACACAGGTGTAAATGGTGGGTGTGACCAGCTTCAAATAACACAGGTAGTCCTCGACTTATGACCTCACTTGAGCCCAATGTCCTGTTGACATTTGTTAAGTGGATCTTGCCTCATCTTACGACCTTTCTTGCCACGGTGGTTAAGTGCAGTTGTTCAATTAGTCGCATGACTGTTAATTGAATCTGGCCTCCCCGTTGACTTTGCTTTATCAGACAGTCGCAAAAGGGGATCACATGACCCCAGGACACTGCGACCATCATAAATAAGAGTCGGTTGTCAAGCACCCAAATGTAAATCACGTGACCATGGCGATGCAGCAGCGGTCGTAAGAGTGAAAACGGTCATAAGTCGCTTTTTTCAGGGCCGTTGTAATTTTGGTCACTAAACGAAGTGTTGTAAGTCGAGGACGTCCTGTAGGTGGAGGTCAGCCATTCCCATCTTCACATTTCTTCTGAGCAGCACACTTTTTTCAGAGGTCTGAATGGCTGCTCTAGAGATTCAAATTGTTGTGAGGACTCTACAGTGCCCAGTCTTAACCAAGGGCTTGGTTGCTGCCGCCTTTGCACGATGCAAAATCGAAAACAGAAGGCCTTATCTGATTCCTATTTAGTCATTGATCCCTTTTCCTAAGGAAATGGGATCTCTAATCCTGTGAGAGACAGTCTAATAGATCTTTCACTTAGAACAGCAATACTTAATAAGTATCTACCGTAGTGTGGAGGAAAGGGAAACTAGAGCAAATAAAAGGTGTATCTGCAGAATACACAATACAGAATAACAGAGTTGGAAGGGACCTTGGAGGTCTTCTAGTCCAACCCTCTGCTTAGGCAGGAAACCCTACACCACTTCAGACAAATGGTTATCCAACATCTTCTTAAAAACTTCCAGTGTTGGAGCATTCACAACTTCTGGAGGCAAGTTGTTCTACTGATTCATTGTTCTGACTGTCAGGAAATTTCTCCTTAGTTCTAAGTTGCTTCTTTCCTTGGTTAGTTTCCACCCATTGCTTCTTGTCCTGCCCTCAGGTGCTTTGGAGAATAGCTTGACTCCCTCTTCTTTGGGGCAGCCCCTGAGATATTGGAAGACTGCTATCATGTCTCCCCTAGTCCTTCTTTTCATTAAACTAGACATACCCAGTTCCTGCAACCGATCTTCATATGTTTTAGCCTCCAGTCCCCTAATCCTCTTTGTTGCTCTTCTCTGCACTCTTTCCAGAGTCTCCACATCTTTTTTTTACATCGTGGCAACCAAAACTGGACACCATGTTCCAAGTGTGGCCTTACCAAGGCATGATAAAGTGGTATTAACACTTCACGTGATCTCGATTCTATCCCTCCATCCAGTGGATAAATCAAATACCTCTGAAGTCCCATCCACGTTATATGGATTTTTGGAATTTTGATCAGTTTCGAATGCATTTTTTTAAAAAAATGGTTACTCAAGTCTGGGTTGAATGTAAAATTCTGCTTAGGGGCAGCTGTCTCATGGTACTCTAAACTGGCAGGTGTTTTCCTAATTGTTGGTGTTAAAAGAAAATTCACGTGGGAGGATTAGTGAGCACCAAGTAGGTAACTTAAAAGACAACTTCATAGAAAACACTATCCAGGTGATTTGATGCCAAAGAATTTAAAAGCGCTTAGAATGCCTACAGAAGTAAAGGATTAACACTCTACATGATGCTGTCTACCACCCAGGAAGGGGGTTTAAGAACAGTTTATACGGAAAGGAGCTAAGCTATTGTAGCAAATTGAATTTTTTTCTCCCCATCAATTATTAGTCAATAATTCAGGCTGTTTCCTAAGCGAGATGAGAAGATCACAACATTTTCAGCATCCTTTGTTCTGGGATTATTCTATTCTTTTCCAGTTCCTTCCCAGAAAAGTTGTAATTCCAGTTGTTCGTTTACCAAAACCATTTTTTTAATTCTACCTGTCGTATCAAACCTTTTCCCCATAAAATAATGTAGCTTCCCCCCCCCCCAACCCCCTTCAATTCTATCATAGAGTCATAGGAATGGAAGGGACCATTGAGATCTTCTGGTCTAACACCTTTCCCAAGGCCTCACAATATTTGAGAGTTGAAAAGAGGAGAAGGTCTTCTTCTAAGGAAGAAAGGAAGGAAGGAGAACAGGAACAGAGGGAGGGAGGAAAGAAGAAAGGAACAAAGGAAGGAAGGAAGAGGAACAGAGGCAAGGAGGGAGAGAGGGAAGAAGGAAGGAAGGAAGGAAGGAAGGAAGGAAGGAAGGAAGGAAACATCATTCTGTTTCTTGGCTAAAGGTAGCCTTGAATCAATGATGTCTCCAGTCATAGACAGACTCCCACAAGAGACAAGTGACTTCAGTCTCATCCTCATCTCAGTTGGTGGAAATCACATCAACCTGTGGTAGCAGTTCCAGTGGTGAAGCAACCTTTGTGATACTCCACAAAAGTGGTAGATGGAAGAACATCCCACCAACAATCACCACCACAGTCAACAGTCAATGGAAGAAAACGATTTTTTAACTCTTTGCTGAATAGGCCAATTTTTGAAAGGACAAATTTCGAACTGAGATGGGGCCGATTCAACGCCAACTCCATCTATGTTTTCATACTAAGCTAGACTGAAAAAATCATGGATACTTTAGAGAAAAGAAAAGACTACATGCTACGTGCTTCGCACGAATATTTTGACCCTCGGTGTCCTGCCGTCATTCTTCACCATCCATCCATCATCATCATCATCATAGTTTGACATGAATCCTATCAAATTTCACATCAGCTTTCCGAATTAGACTGTTGCATTCAAAAAAAAAAAAATTGGGTTAATATTAGCAAAAGACAGATGCTAACTATTCAATCTGGAGGAAAAAAATGAAATGAAATGGCTGACAGAAAATGCACTTGTCACAATATCCAGCAGATTAATTGTCAAGCACAATGGAATAATGTTAATAAAATATGCAAATTAGATACAGCCTTTGGGCTCATGATTGGCTTCCGTAGGGAATCTTGGGATCTGAGAACATATTGCCTAGCTGGGTACTTTTTTAATTTAGCAGCCTGAAAATAATCTTCACAGCATGAGGGGAAATTTGAAAGACTTTAACGGGGAGGGGGAAAAAAAACCCTGAATCGTTTTTGTTTGTCCTACTTCACGTTGGTGTTTATTAGTCAACCAACCATACCGAGTAAACAAATCCGACTGAAGACAGCGGTTAATCAAAGATTTCTCTTTGGAACGTTGCCCCTAAATCACTTTGGGACATCCCGGTGAGATTTGAGGCTAAAAGATAGGAATTTAGAGCAATTGTATATTTATTTGTTTAAAAGGTGCTGAGGCCATCTGAGTAAGAAGAAGGCAACTCCACAAGTATATTGAAAGAGACCTACTGAATCAAGATGGCCAACCAGGATTTTAATAGTTAATAGTTTGAGGTTCCTCCTGGGGGCATCCGTGATAAGAATGCCCAGGGAATTCTGGGAAATATGCTTTCAACTATCTCTTAGAGATCCCTGATCTCTTCCCCTCCAAACAGGGAAACACTGAACAAACTGGGAATGAGGTCAAATGTATGTTTAAAGGTAAAGGTAAATGTTCCTCTTGCACATATGTGCTAGTCGTTCCTGACTCTAGGGGGCAGTGCTCATCTCTGTTTCAAAGCCGAAGAACTGGCGCTGTCCGAAGACGTCTCTGTGGTCCTGTGGCCAGCATGACTCAATGCCAAAGGCGCACGGAACGCTGTTACCATCCCACCAAAGGTGGTCCCTATTTTTCTACTTGCATTTTTTACGTGCTTTCGAACTGCTAGGTTGGCAGAAGCTGGGACAAGTCACGGGAGCTCACCCCGTTACGCGGCGCTAGGGATTCGAACCGCTGAACTGCCGACCTTTCGATCGACAAGCTCAGCATCTTAGCCACTGAGCCACCGCGTCCCTTCAATGTATGTTTAGGTATACTGTAGTTAAATGTCTATGGAGATATAGTTGCAGTTTCTTTCTTTGACTTTTAGTTTCATGCTACAGTGCTAAGGTAGGAGTAGGGAAATCTGTCCAACATTGGTTAGGTTGTTCCAAGGAATTACCAAGTGGTCTTCTTCACCAACCACTTCCACTAACAGAGTGAGCCACTTGTATATAAGAAGAGAGAAAACCTCACTCCCTTCTAGCACTGATGATATTCCCTAGTTGGGTTGGGAAAAGTCTGCAAGAAAAGAGCCAAAGGTGCTTTTTCCAAGAAGGCAACTGGACTTCCTTGGTTTTTGAAAATGTTTCACTTCACATCCAAGAAACTCTTTCAGTCCTGAAGAAGAACTGAAGAAGCATCTTGGATGAGAAGTGAAATGTTTTCCAAGAAAAACCCAAGAGAGTCCAGTTGTCCCTTTGGAAAAAGCACCTTTGGGACAACTGTGAGTTGGATGATTGAGAATCTCCATAGACATTTATCCAAGCTCAGAGGCCACCAAAGATTCTACACTTAGACTTGCTTGATCAAGTTGACTAGATTGTTCGATCAAGATGTTGTGGCCCGCCAGCAGCCAGCAGAGTTGGCAGCAGAGTCGGACAGTGAGGAGGTTGGGGAGGAACTTGGGCCAGTCCTGGGGGCTGGAGAAAGCTCGGACGAGGGCTCTGCGTCGGAGGCAGAGAGGGAGCTAGACAGCAGTGAGGCAGAGGAACAGCTGAAGCCCGTTCCCATTGTGCGCATGCGCAGAGCTGCCAGAAGACAAGAACAACTCAGAAAGCAGGGTCGACTCAGGAGTAAAGCCACACCTTGGAGGTGATTGGCCCCTCCCATAGGAAACAAAAGAGGAGCGAATGGGGAGGGGGCTTTTGCAGGAAACAATTCATTCGGTCGGTCGTTTCAAGAGTGGAAAGTTCTGTTTGGACTCTAAGAGACTCTGTGCCATGTTTTGACTTACACTGCATTTGGAAACTAGTTATCTGGCAACTTGCCAAGCGAGATAAGGTCTGTGTTGATAAATATTCCTTTGAAAGACTGTTTGGACAAGCCTTGCTGACTGTGAATGAAAGGAATTCACAGTCCTGTAAATAAAAGAGGTTTTGTTGGGACCAAAACTCTGCTTCCTCTGCTTTTTAAGGGAGCCTAGGTCAGAACAGAAGATGACAAGGGCTCTACACTTAGACATGTTTGATCAAGTTGACTCGATTCACAACCCAAGGTGTGATAGAAATCAAATCAAACAGATCTTCCTCCTTTTCCCAGGAGCACAGAAACGCCATCCCCTATGTCTCTGAGCCCCTCGCCCATCAGCAACCTTGGAAGCACCACAAGCACAGCAGGCTCCTCTTCGGTGGGGACTGTCAGCATCCCCCAACGGATCCACCACATGGCCGCCAGCCACGTCAACATCACCAACAATGTCTTGCGGAGCTACGAACATTGGGACATGGCCGACAAACTGACAAAAGAAAACAAAGGTATCGCCTCCTTCCCCTTCTTCTCCCTCTCCTTGGAGATCTGCTGAGGCTACGTTGATAATGATTAGACCCAGCATCTCTTGAATAGAATAGAATAGAATAGAATAGAATAGAATAGAATAGAATAGATAGAATAGAATTAGAATAGAATAGAATAGAATAGAATAGAATAGAATAGAATAGAATATAGAGAGGAGAGAGGAGAGTAGAATAGAGTAGAAAATGGAATGAATATAGAATAGAATAAAATAGAGAATGGAATGAGAATGCAGAATGCAGAATAGAATGGAATGGGAGAGGATAGGATAGGATAGGACAGGACAGGGCAGAGCCGGACAGGACAGGACAGGACAGAACAGAACAGAACAGAACAGAACAGAACAGACTAAGAAAATAAAGAATGGAACAGAACAGAACAGAACTGAACAGAATAGAACAGAACAGAACTGAACAGAACAGAACAGAACAGAACAGAACAGAACAGAATAGAATTCTTTATTGGCCAAGTGTGATTAGACACACAAGGAATTTGTCTTCTTGCTGGTTAATAGAATATGCTGGTTCACTGAGTTGCATAGTTACTCTTTGTGGTGAGGATTACTCTTCACCAAAGGGGGAATCAATGGGTGGGAAGGCTCAGAACATTTCTGTTTTTTCTTCCTCATATAGACTAATCCTGTGAAGCGTATCAGCTAGGGCTCCGAGTGTGAAGGGGATTTGAGAAAAGGGAGTGTGAGAGGACGGGATGGTGCCCTGACCCTCTTAAAGAGAGCCAAGTAAAAGACCAAGCTACATACCCTCCCCCTTATAAAATATAAAGGCTCACTAGAGGGTCATTGCTTGCTATTATATATGGGCCCATGTCTGAACTCAGACAAGAACATGGAAATTTAGCACTCTTGCCAAGGTTTCATCCATTAGTGTTGATTCCTGCCTTATTCTGTTCAAAACTAGACATTCTGAAATACTACAAGTCCATTAAATATAAGTTCCAAGATGATAGATAGATAGATAGATAGATAGATAGATAGATAGATGATAGATAGATAGATAGATAGATAGATAGATAGATAGATAGATAGATAGATAGATAGGAAGGAGGTAGGTAGATAGATAGGTAGATATAGACTGACACAGGTGAGAGAGAGAGACAGAGGTGTAGGTAGGTAGGTAGGTAGAGAGAGAGAGAGAGATGAGAGAGAGAGATAAGATAAGATAAGATAAGATAAGATAAGATAAGATAAGATAAGATAAACAGATAGACGGACAGATGGACAGACATGACAGATGACAGATATAAATAGATGACAGATGGAAGATGGATAGATATGGATGTATAGATAGAGATAGATAGATAGATAGATAGATAGATAGATAGATAGATAGATAGATAGATAGATAGCAAAAAAGGGGGGGAGAGAGAGAGAATTGGGAGCATAGAAAACTAACCAATAAATTGCATGCTACTTGTTTTGGGAATATACTGGCCCCTCCGGTAGACCAGCAGAAAATAACACTTCTTTCTGTTTTTCAGAGTTCTTCATAGACTTGGACTTGGTGATGGGTCCATTGACACAACACAGCAGTATGACCAACCTGGTCCGTTACATTCGTCAAGGACTCCATTGGCTTCGCACGGAAGCACACTTGTTGTAGTGACGGCCATGCCCCCCCTGTCACCACTCCATCCCGTTTCCTTCATCGGCACCCAGGTGATCCCCGATGGACAGCCACTTCCTCCTGTAACTGTATCCATAGAGTTTAATTTTGTTGCCGTCTCTCTTTCTGTCTTATACAAAACACGAACTGTTCTACCTGTCCGAAATGGAATTGCCATAAATGGAAAATGTAGCTTCCAAGCAGGGTACGTGTTCCTCGTGTTAAACCAGCGTCGGTTATATCCTTGGTCTACGAACTTCTAGATCCTGCCAATATTGCCATCTGTAACCTCCAGAATGGCCATTGCCTGCAGTATTGCACTTTGATCCAGAAGTATGTTTGAGGAGAAAGGGTTAATAACATTTTGAGGGCCCCTTTCGGAAAGTTCTCACGCCTGCCAATTAATGCAGAGGACCTCCCTCTTCCCAACACAACTGTTGTCCTTTTGAGACAAGCCATCCCTATCCTCAGTTTAGTCCTGACTTGTTACTTGACAAGAGGTCATTGTTACAATCGCAGAAGTGTGGTCCTTAAACAAGTGTGACGTCAAGCATTTCCACGCTGCCGTAGACACCAAGACATACATAACACATGTATCACAAAAGACTTTGGGAGATCTCTATAGAGAGGCCAGTAAGATGTCACGTTTTGTAATTCTGATTTATGGATCTCCATTTTTTAAGGGGCTACAATCAGACCCTTTTTAAATCTATTTCACCACCATGGAAGTCTTTTAAAATGAAAACGGTATCCAGTAATCCATGCTGAAGGACTCATCTCTCTCTCTCTCTCTCTCTCCCTCTTCCTCCCTCTCTCTTCCCCTCTCCCTCCCTTTCTTTCTCTCCTCTCTCTCTTCTCTGTGTCTCTCTCTCCTCTCTCTCTGCCCCTCCCTCTCTCCCCCTTCTCCCTCCCTTTCTCTCTCTCCTCTCTCTCTTCTCTGTTTCTCCCTCTCTCTCTCTCTCTCTCGCTGTATCTCTCTCTCTCTCCTCTCTCTCCCCTCCCTCCCTCTCTCTCCCCCCTCTCTCCTTTATCTCTCCCTCCCTTTCTCTCTCTCCTCTCTCTCTTCTCTGTGTTTCTCTCTTTCTCTCTCTCTCTCATCTAAAAAAAATTAAGGATGATTTTTTTTTGTTATTCTAAATATGTGGGGCAGCTCCACAAATTACCATAAGATTCAACTAAGGTAATCTCATTTAATTGAGCCATTTGTGGATGGAGGGATGTCCATTAGACAGCAACCGTAATTACCACCACGGCAATGGATGTCGTGATGGAAATGAGGCCAATTGTCTGAAGATGTCCTCATGTGAATGAAACTGTAATGTTATGCAAATGACATGCGTTGACCCTCCTTGCCTCATTTGCATGAGGATATCATCCTTGCTCAAAGATACGTTGAAATGTCCTCCTCTAGACTTCTTGGGAAAGGGACGGCTGGACTTGGTGAGCTGTTTCAGAGGGACGTCTAAAAGGAAACCAGATTGTTTGCATCCAGAGTCTGCTAAATAGGTTTTGTTGAAGCAAGGTTTCACTGTATCCAAAGTTGTGCTGGCTGGGGAATTCTGGGAATTGAAGTCCAGAGATCTTAAATTTGCCAAGGTTGAGAAACAGAGATGGAGGGTTCTCGTCTAGGATGGCCCCTTATCTAAGCCTACTGAGAAAGCTCAGTATAATCATTGTAATGACTCCATTTCTAGGATAGCCTAGAGAGGTGTTGGGTTGTTGTTTGTTTGTTTGTTTCATTCCTTACTACAAGGCTCCTGAGGTGTCCTTCCTATCTTTCAAACCTGTCCTTCTTTGTGGGTTGCAGTACGTGCCATGCTCTAAATGGTTTTAATGAAGCCCTTCAGGCGTTCAGCGTCATCTTCTATCTGCAGGAGGGCAATGGCTTTAATAGGAGCACCAACATGTCACGGGAGAAGGTTTGGGAGTTTTCAAATCCTTTCAGAACCAGGAGTGGGCTGCTGGGGGTTCTCAGCGGTTCAGGAGAACCTCTAGCTAAGTTTCTGTGCAGTTCGGAGAACCCGCAAATCCCACTCCTGGCTGGCCCCGCCCACCCTGCCCCACCCCTACCAGGAGTCTCCACGCGGCCCATTTTAGATGCAGGTAAGTGCAGGGTGCGTGTGGAGCCTCGGGGAGGGCGAAAAACGGGCCTACCGGAAGTTCAGGAAGGCCAGAAATGGGCCCATTTCTGGCCTCCAGAAGGCCTCCGGTGCCTGGGGAGGCCATTTTCGCTCAAAAAAAGCCTCCAAAGCCCGGGAAGGGAAAAAAACATCACCACCACCCGCCATGGTGCAGGAGGCCAACTAGGCCACGCCCACCATGACCACGCCCACTCAGCAACTGGACAGAGAACCCCTTGCTAAAATTTTTTGAAGCCCAGCCCTGTTCAGAACCCTCAGGCAAGGCTTTTCCAAAAACACCAGGGTTGGAAAAGAAGGCAGCAAATTCAAGTTTCTTGTCCTCCTCCCGTTAACTTTTGGCAGACAGCGACAGATGGAGGGGCCGCGAGATGAAGGGTTTTCCCAGGGCGGAAGGCGACGTGTGTGTCGAAGAAATAGTAAATTACCCGTCGTATTTTCCCCCACTGTGGTTCATCCAGTCGAGGCACCGAGCAGTTGATATCCCTACCAGGAGCTCTTAAACAGGATCCGCCAGTTGTTCGGCCTCTACCTATGTTTCCAATGCTAGGAGATATTAGAAGGAAGACAGGATTAAAGTCCCTTTAACAGCTGCAGGGTGTATTTCTTTTATCACAGCAAAAAGAAAAAAAGAAAAGAAACCAAAACGCAAGGGATAAGGTGAAGAAAGCCTTTAAGATCAGAGTCAGCTTCCATTACAGACCGCCTTAAATTTCAAAATATATATATATATATATATATATATATATTTTCCCCCTTCTAAAAACAATAAGTAAGCCTTGGTAAGCCTTACAGAGTTATCTTATCATTTAATTTATAAGCTGTATCCATTTTGGACTGGTGCCAGTTTGGTTTAGAACAGCGCCAATCCTTACCTGTGAGTAAAAAAAAAAACACCTGGAATTCAGTCAAACTTGATTTTAGGTAGACTATAGTGCATTAATTGCTTTTTAATTTCTTTTTAAACTGGATATTGGCTAATATCATTTTCATCTTGATTTTTTTCTTTTCTTTTTCTTTTTCTTTTCTTTTTTCTTTTTCTTTTTTTCTTTCTGCAAACAGCACAGGTCCTCCACAATATTCACATTAACAGAGTCGGAAGGGACCTTGGAGGTCATCTAGTCGAAACCCCCCCCCCCCGCCACCCAAGCAGGAGATCCTACACCATTTCTGACCAATGGCAATCCAGTCTCTTCTTGAAATAGACTCTGTATGAAGGAATAAACTTCAGGGACAAACTTAAGGAAAGTCCTACTGATGTTAACAGTTTAACTCAGGGGCGAAATGCTCCCGGTTCGGTCTCTTTTTTTATTTTTAAAAGCATTGTTTCTACAACCTCTTCGGCTGAAAAAAATGCTTTTAAAAGTAAAAAAAAAAGTCTCTGCCGATCAGGCAACTCAGCTGGGATCGTCAGAGCCTTTTGAAAGCATTTTTTTACAACCTCTGCACCGAAGAGGTTGTAGAAAAAATGGTTTCAAAAGCAAAAAAAAATTGGCCACGCCCACCTAATCACATTAACCCCCCACACCAAGCCACGCCCACAGAACCCGTAGTAACAAATTTTAGATTTTACTACTGGTTTAACTGTAAATGTCAAAGGGAAAGAGGTTTGGGGAAATTAATCCATGAAAAACTTCCGTACACGTAACCATGTAAATACCATTTTATGTCATTCTCTCTGCAGAATAATATTTCATCCGCACTAGATAATCGAGAGGAGAATCGCTCGTAGCTGCATTCCCTTATATGATCCTATAATTTCAAAAAGTGATAAACCAGCGATTCAAACTGCTGGGACATCTGGGGGAAAAAAGTTTTGCGTCCACGTGCCAAGTTTTTTTTTTTAACAACTGAGTCCACTCCAAATCCAGTCTTAAAGGTTAACTTGGTGGCAGTCAATAATTCACTTTATTTATTTTTTTTTAGAAAGAAAATGAATCTAAGTCTTAACATATTTGATTCCACATTATCATGACTGTAGTTCAAAATTAGAAAGTTCTCCTGGCAACGTTTGGCTGGTCTACAAAAACTATTGCTGGAATTTGATGATTTCAACCAGGATAGAGAGATTTTGCACAGAAGAATAGATTTCCACGGTGACCCAAAGGTGCTTTTTCAAGAGGCAATCGAATTTCCTTTGTTTTTCCTTGAAGACATTTCGCTTCTCATCCAGGAAGCTTCTTCAGAACTTCTTCATCCATGACCTGGATGACTGAGAATCTCCATAGGCAATCTCGCAGAGAGTTTCTCTGAAATTTGTGGCTTGAGGTGTGATGAGAAGGACTGAGAATACAATGTCTGCTGGCGATTCTTTTACTAGCTTCATCCGAATATCTTTGCTTGCGTCTTCTTAAGCTTCCATATTGGAAACTTCACTTCCCATCTGGTTCTAGGAATTGCTTCATATCTGTGATGAGGACCTCACAGTCTCTCAAATTTCTTACTTTTTTTTTTCCTCCTTATTCTTTTCCACTTCCATATTAGATTCATCTTTCTTCTCCATCTGTCTGATGCATTCCGACAACATGGAATAGGGCAACCATCTTCCTATCCAGATGTCTTAAGGAGAGTCACGAGATCTTATGCAGTCTGCTTGTATCTCTAAGCCTCAGTTAGAATTACAATAGTGGCCAAAATTGTGGAAACCCCTTTTGGGAAAAGTGTATTTTCTAAAACTAGCTAATAACACCACTTTTTTTTTCTTTCTTTTTTTTTTTTTTGGAGTAGTACCATAAAATTATATATCAATGGAAAGATAATTTAATCAAAAATGTAATGCAATAACTTTTATGAAGGATTTGCTATTAGAGTAACAGTTACAGTAGAAAGAAGAAAAGTGAAACACGTAGAAAAAATGAGATATACAAAAATGATCACCCTAGAAAAAATGAGATCTACAAAAATGATCACCATGTCAGTTAATACTTCGTTGGGTAACCTTTAGCATGAATTATGGCCTTACAATGTCTTCCCATGGAGTGAACCAAGTCTTTTAGTTCTGCAGCTGTTATCATGTGAAACCAAGATTGAAGGATGGCTTCTATTAACTGGGTTTTATTGCTGGGTCGCTTCTGACTAACCAGTTTCTTTAGTCTGCTCCATAGATTTTCAATTGTGTTAAGATCTAGGCTATTCCCAGGCCGTTCCAGCAGTGGAACAGGATTATCTTGAAACTCCAAAAAAACCAAAAGCGGTGTTATTAGCCATCAAACCTCAAAAATACACTTTTCCCAAAAGGTTTCCACAATTTTGGCCACTACTGTAACTGCAGCCTAAGGCAAGGAAATCATCCAGGATTCTTTGGGAAAAGAGTAGAAAAGGATCCCACCTCTTCTTCAAATCTCCTAAAGAAGGGAGAAAAGGCGTCCATCAAAAATTAGATCTTCCTTTCCATGCCGGAAACACAAAAACTCAAGAATTGATTACAGCCTCCAATTCAAAGCCAGGAAATAATCTGGAATCAATTGGAAAATATCCCATCTCTTCTTCAGATCCCCCCAAAAGGGAAGAGGATCCATCAAAATTAGATCCGTGCTGGAAAGGTTTCTAAAAGCCCCCAAATAAGACACTATCAGGGGTGCTATTCACTTACTTTCCCTACCGGTTTGCAAATGTATGCGCACAAATGCGCCCTGCCTTCTTCGCATGTGCTTTGCTGGAGTGCATGCCTTGCGCATGTGCCCAACCTCAAAAACATGCCTAAATAGGATGGATAGAGCCAGGGCGGGCCCAACCATGATTTCTGCTACCGGTTCGGGCGAACTGTTCCAAACCGGCTGAATGCCACCTCTGGGCACTATTAAAAAGGGGGAAAAGTTGCCCACCTTGAAATCTATTCCCCCGTTCATCTTCTTGAAAGCCTCATTTGAGAAGACCGACCAAGGTTACAAGTTTGAATTATTGCCCCGTTTAAAGCAAGTGGATTTCACCCCCTCCCCCATACTTCTCCCCCCCCTTCCCCGTTGTTGAGTGAACGGCATTTCCTATCAATGGTGGGAGTGTAAATCAGTCACGGTAATAGAGCACCAGTTCATTCTGAACGTCTGCCAATAAAAATCTCTAGGGGAAGAAGAAAAGAAGTCAACAATGGAAGTTTGCTAGCTCTTTGCTAGCCGTGTCGCAGTGAAGGTGAATGCCCCAAGCTTGATTAGCGGGCACAATATCGGTCCGTAGACCATGTCAGTTAAACGGGGGAGCTCTTTGCGAAAGAAATAATTGGTGGATTAAGGGATGACATCAAAGCACTTGGCCGAGTTGGACAACTTCCAGTGTTGGGCAGGCTACGTTCTTAGACAGGCTAAGAAATGAGAAAAATATGGCGACTTCCAACATCTGAGGGGAATGCTGGATGGTTTTAAATGCTGGCTTTTTTTGGGCACACGCAGACATGTAAGAATTGACTTTTATCCAGACTAAACTAGAGGGTTTTTTTTTTTTAAATTGTTTTGTTTCATGAATAGATCTTGGAATTCAAAAGCTGCTTTGTGTGCCCTGTAAGTTACACATACACAAAAAAAGGCAGGAAATTAATTGGAGTCCTTAAGAAAGAAAAGCTTGTAGGTGTCTTGAGGGAACAGAAATCCCTCTGATCGAAGGAGTTGACTTGACCAACAGAGATTGTGACTTCTTAAAGACCAAAACATTCATTCTTGCAAACGTTTTTTGAGGACTGTAGACTCTGTTTCTCTGTATCTGACCAAACAGGCTGAAATTTCAGTAATGTTATGGGATAAAAAAAAATATTTAAGGTTCAGGGCTGAATATGGCTCCCTCTTCAGATACTGCATTCACGCAGCTTAATATCTGTTTAATGACCTATCCCTCGACGGCTTCCAGCTAAACCTGTGGTTGAGCAGAGTTTTTGAAGGCCTCTTTGCGGTCATAAATTAAGGACTAACCTTCAAGCAACAGCTATTTGTCATGTCCATTGAACAACTGTTACATGCATTTTGCTGTTTCCTGTTTTCCAGCCAGGTTCTTGCAAAGTTGATGCTTTGTTTTATTTTGGAATGAGAAAGAAAAGAAGGGAGTTAGATGGAGGGCCCATTTCTTGTATGTCGTCTGATTCCTACGTGTAGACTCGAGTCTTAATTTTGCAGGATAATGGACATCCATGTCTGTGTGTGTGCAAACTGTCCATTATTTACCATCCACCCAGGACAGCTAACTCAATAAGCAAAGGAGGCCTGGAAATTCACCAACCATATTTCAGGGAAACTAGCTATTCATCCAGAACTACTTGAGAATGCTAATGACCTACTTACCATATTTTTCGGAGTATAAGATGCTCCAGACTATAAGACGCACCTACCTTTTTTGGTGAGGAAAACAAGAAAAAGAAATCTGCCTCTGCCTCTGCCTCTGCCTCTGAGCTTATTTTTGGGGGAGGACTTATTTTTGGGGAAGGGCTTATTTTCGGGGAAACACGGTAGTCCAGTGCAGAATCACACTTTTCCAAAAAATAAAAATTAAAAAAAAGACAAGGTCATGTCCCTCAAGCTAGCAATGTGATGTTTCATGAGAAGTTGCAAATCAACTAAGATTGTTCTCCTCCACGCGTTTGACTCAGCCAAATCCTGACATCAGCCAAACCCCAGTTAGGTCAATCCTTGGAAAATGCTGTTCACTTTAGACTGACCATTAGAGCAGGGTTCTACAAATTTGGCAATTTTAAGATGTCTGAAGGAGTCGACGCTTCTTAAAGCTGTCAAAATTGAAAAACACTGAGTTAAACCCAGTGGGAATACTCTCACCCGTTTTTAAGTCTCGAGATTTAGGAAAATAAATTCAGACCAATGCAAAATTAAAAACTCTTCTGTTTCTCCTCCAGAGATCTAGGGATTTGTCTGGCTGAGTGTAAGTCTTGTGCACCTGTTTTCCATAACTTCCCCCAACACAAACCATAACATCATTCCAGACTCCATTTGCATCCTGCATTTACCTGTTTAGATACTGTATGTTAGTTAAGCAATTTCGAACATGTGTATCCACTGTAGAAGTCAGCCTTTTCTGATTCAGGGTCCTCCCCAGGTGTGCTGGATTGCAACTCTTCCAATTTTCAGATAATTTGGATAGCCATGATCGGGTTCCTGGGAAGGTCTTGTTGCACTTCTGCAAAAGGACATTGTTCTGATCTGATACAGTAAAAAGCATACAATTAGTCCCAAAAACCCTCTTTTTATCTCCACGGCTGTGAATTCTGTTCATTCACAGCCTGCTCATTCTCAATCTGTTCATTCACAGATGAGTCACAAATAGTTGTAAAGAGTCCGACAGAAGTCTGCCACAGTCCTTCGGGGTAAAGCTGATAAGCACCCATCTTTATCTCCCTTGACACACTGCCAAAGACCTAATTGGCAATTAGCTTTACAAGGCCACACGGAGCACAGAGTCAAAACGGAGCTGCAGAATTTAAACCAGCCAGAACAAACAACAGTTGCTTCCTGCAAAGGCTCACGTGCCTTTGCTCCTCCTTTATGTCTTATGGGAGGGCCAATCATCTCCAAGCCCTACTCCCGAGTCGTCCCTATTGTTTTAACTGTTCTTGCCTTCTGGAAGCCCTGCGCATGCACGCACTGGGAACAGGCTCCTCCTGTTCCTCTGCCTCACTGATGTCCAACTCTGGAGGCTCTGGATTCAGCACATAACTCCCAGATGGCCCTGGCCCCCTCTCTGCCTCCGACGTAGAGCCCTCGTCCGAGCCTTCCCCAGACTCCAGGACTGGCCCATGTTCCTCCCCAGCCTCCTCTCTGTCTGACTCTGCTGCCAGTTCCACAGGCTGCTGGCAGACCACAACAGATGTCAGCCAAAGTCAGATCTTTATTATCCTACTGTCAGGCGTGAAGAATCAGGACCACATGTAAAGTTCCAGCTCAAATGTATTGCTCACATTTTTACACAAGAATCTAGTCAACTAACAGTCAGCACTAAATTGGTGCTAGTTAAGAATCAACGGAATTCAAGGGGGCTTAGACCATTTGTGGGAACGTAACGATTCCAGGCTGATTGCTCTCTTGACTCCACCTCCAAGCTGTGCCTGCTCTTCTCTTACATCTACCACTTAAAATTAAATTATACTTGACTATTGGGAGACCTAAACACTCATTCCCACACCACCTGGTGATTTAGCTTGCATTCATTCAAAATAGCCCCTTTTGTGGGTAGGGACCATCCATTGCATAATCTCTGAAATTCCACCATGTGTCTTTGGAACAAGCATGTTATTCCTTGTACAGTTTTAAGTATAAGTTAAGATGTTTTTTTGTACAGATTAAGATGCAGTTACCGTTAACCTGTCCAGCAATTACTGAAATGTTGTATAGTTCTAAAATTTTCAGTTCCTCTTCATTCTTTTTGTTTTTTTAATTGTTTTATTTCTATGTAAAGGGGAAAAAATGTATCCTGCTTGTTTACTTTGTACTTCCAATGTGTTGCACAATTATGCATTTCTGTTTACATTTTCTTTTCTATTTTTTTTAAAAAAATAATACTTTCTGTACAAACATTTTCAATGTTGTTTGTTGTTTTCAAAAACAATTGTCTCTGTATAAATATTGGTTGAACTGGTACATTTGTGTCTCTCATAGAGGGATTAATTATACTGCCGGCGCATTGAATTATTTAAAAAAAAAAAGGAAAATAAAATTTTTATGAAATGTTGAACTGGGTTCTCTTTTGTGACCTTGGGTTCATGATAGCAAACCTATGGCATGCGTGCCAGAGGTGGCACACAGCACCCTCTCTGATGGCATGCGAGCCATTGCCCTAGTTCAGCTCTGCTGCGCCTCCCACCAGCCAGCTGGTCTTTGGTCCAGGTAGGCTGCACACATGCGGGGGGCAGGGGCAGTGGTGGGATTCTAATAATTTAACAACTGGTTCTCTACCCTGATGATCAGCTGGGTAGGCGTGGCTCAGTGGTCATGTGACCTTGTGGGTGTGGCCAACTCAATGTCGCTCACATCGATGGGTGCTTCGCCTTATCTGTTACAACGTAATTGTCAGGTTTCGATGCTATCTCAAAATAAATGAATTTCCAAACTGCCGATCTTTAAGGAAATTTTCTCTTTATTCGAGCACAGCAATCTGATCCTGACTCTTTCACGGTCAGTACTGACCTTTGCCCTCCAATCCCTCCCTTTCCGATCCCCAATTCTCTGCTTCTCATTGGCTATCTTCCAAGTCAGTTTCCTGATTCCTTCTTCGTCAGATCACAGGAATGTCTCCCCCCTCCCCATCTCTGAGGAGACAGAATCTTCAAAGGGATTTAGCAGGCAAAAGTTCAGGCTTCTCCTCCCTTTATTTATATGTCAGTGCTGGGACGCTGACAGTAATAAGGGTTAACCGGAGAGGCAGTTTCTGTAAGCAGGGCAATAAAGATTAGGCTAGAAACACCACCAGAATGTTTCCTTCCTGCCTTCCTTACAGGATTAGCCCTGTAAAGTGGAAAAAAACAAAATAAGATTTCTTCCGACAACCGGTTCTCTGAATTGCTTAGGAAGTTAAGAACCGGTTCTCCCGAACAGGTGCGAACTGGCTGAATCCCACCACTGGGCAGGGGGCATGGGGGGTGGGGTGTATGTGGGGCGTGTGCACACATGCACAGGGGAGGGGCGGATTAGCGTTTGCGCGCTTTGGGCACTCGGTCCGGAAAAGGTTAGCCATCACTGTCCTAGACTTAAAACCACCGTGGGCTTTCTGGTGTTCATTATACAAATGCTCCTCATTTAGCAACAGCCTCATTTAGTGACCATGCATAGTTGTGACTGTGATGAAAAAAGAACTTTATGGGCACTCTGTGCGTTTACAACTTTCACAGATCTGGAAAGTAAAGAAAAGCGAAGTGAGATCATAAACACAATCACAGTTTCACTTAGCACTGATGATACTACTTAGTTCACTTAACACCAGATGTTACCAAACAAGGTAACATCTGCAAGAAAACAACCAGGCCCCTCTCATTTCAACCCTGAACTACAAATATTCTACTTTATTGGTACAGTTTCACTTAACAGCTGAATTACCCATCCCAATTGTCCTCGTTGCTAAACAAGGACAACTGTCAGGTCCATCATCTTTGGCTTGGCGCCTTGCTGGCATCCTGCCATCAAAAGACTGGGGGGAGCGGGAAACAGGGGACAAATGGGCAATAAATTGGTATGTGTCTATTGTGGGGGAGGGGGAATGACAGCTGAGGAAGAGCAGATCAACATGGAGCCAATTTGTGCCAGGCATCTTCAAGGCCTTTAACCCTGAGCATGGAAATTTACCAGCCCAAACACCTCAGCGTTCCCAAAACATCTCGGTGGCATCGCATTGGCTGAGTTTGTACTGGTCATTGGGGTCGGGGGGGAGGGACGGGGAAATGAAGGAAATTGTTTTGCCTTTTTGCACGGGAAACTCAGATTCCACCTGATTTTACTGCAACCAGCATCTTTCAGTAAAAGTACCTTTCACTTCAACCAAATGGAGTCGAGGGTTTTTCTTTCCTAAGGGATCAGATTGGGGCAGGACTGACAGCAACCTGTACTTGCACCGCAATTTCTATCTTCTTCACTCTGGAAAGCGGGAGAACGATTCAAATGTCTTTGCCCGAATTAATCTTTAGTTGCAACCAGTGGGGGGTTGCCCCCCCCCCGGTTCGGACTGGTCCGCAAGAACCAGTAGTAAAAACGGCGGGAGGCTCCACCCACTGACCCGGATGCCATCAAAGTTAATCTGCACATGTGAGCAAAGTGAGCACGCGTGCATGTGCACAATGCTAACCGATAGTAAAGGTAAGTAGACCCCACCCCTGGTTGCAACTCGGAGTCTAGATTTTGCAGAGCCTTTGACATAGGAGTTCTCCAAAGAGGCAAATTGAATTCTTGCCCGTAAACTTCAATGTTGCAGCCTGTTAAAACCCAGATAGTTTTGATTTTTAAGCAAAGGTCTCTGTGTTAAGGGGTCTCTGCCCTTCCCTGCTCATGGTGCACACCTTAAAACCTGCAGAGAACCTCGGTCGCCCCTTTCCCCAGGCCTGTTGGCTCTCCCTGGCATTTACAACGGAGAGGCGGTTTTGCACCCTTGTGCTGCGGATGTTGCATTGTCTGCCTGTCAAGGCAGAACTCAATAAAACGGCTCTTACTGAGCTTCAACCCATTAATTTTACAGTAATCGCCCCGTGTGTGCTTGATGGGCTGACAGAGAATTATCTGCAATGGGAAGTTGCTTGCCAACAAACATTGTAAAGCAACGGATGCAAATCGAAGGGAGGAGAATGCTTATAACACCCAGGGATAGACCAACTGACTGTTGCTAAGGGAATTTCAGATCTGTCCTTGCCAATTGCACCTGTTGTTCTTAATCTGCAGCAAAGTGGGACAGTAGACCTCTTCTTCCTGATCCAGAAGAGTTTGTTGGGGGCTTTTTAAGTGCCAGCATTTGTTTAGTTTTGGACCCTCAGTGTTGAAGCAACCTTGAGATCAGGGAGACATCTGATTTGATCATCTTCAGGGTCTTCTTATGGAGGTTTTCTTCCTTTCAACCCACTAAGTCAAGAATTAGCAACTCAAAACTCCAGGTTCCACATCAGAAACTGACTTATGGGTTCCTTGCAGGATTGTCTCTTCACAGTGGTGTCTATCTACCTTGTTAGATCCATCAGGAGAAGCATGCACCAGATCCCTTCTGCAAGAGAATGCCATCTGTTGGGATCTAGTAGAAGAGCCTTTTCTGCTGTGGTCTCCGTCCTCTGAAGCAGGGGTGAAACCCAGCAGGTTCTGACAGGTTCTGGAGAACTGGTAGTGGAAATTTTGAGTAGTTCAGAGAACTGGGAAATACCACCTCTGGCTGGCCCCAGAGTGGGGAGGGAATGGGGATTTTGCAGTATCCTTTCCCTGGATTGGGGTGGGAATGGAGATTTTGCAGTATCCTTCCCACAGGAGTGGAGAGGGAATGGGGATTTTGCAGTATCCTTCCCCTGCCATGCCCACCAAGCCACGGCCACAGAACCAGTAATAAAAAGAATTTGGATTTCACCACTGCTCTGAAGCATCACTCCCCTGCTGTTCTTTCACAAAGCACTGAAAACTTGCCTTTGCCATCAAACTTGAGACCTTATAGGATGAGTGAGCCTGTATGATAGTTTGTTGGACTGGGTGAAAGTCGTCTTGATGGTCACAATTTCTGAGACAAAGCCAAGTACACAGCCTTGAGGTCAAAAATAAAAGACAGTGAGAATTCTCCCTACTCCCTAATTCTTGCCAGGTCTGATGTGAGTACTCGAGATCCAGCTTTTAGGTCTGAAGTCCAACTTCTGTCTCTCAGAAAAGTCTTCCAACATCTAAGAGGCTACCACAAAGAAGAGGCAATCATCTTGCTCTCCAAAGCCCCTGAAGGCAGGACAAAAAGCAATGGATAGAAACTGATCAAAGGAGAGAAGCAACTAAAAAGAAGAAATCAATCAATCAGCGGAATGGCTTTCCTCCAGAAGTTGTGGCTGCTCCATCCCTGGAAGTTTTTAAGAAGAAAACTTGGGCAGCCATTTGTCTGACAGGGTCTCCCATTTGAGCAAGGGGTTGGACTTAAAAGACCTCTGTTATTCCATTTCCAGCTTATATTAATAGCTTTAGTTATCTGCAGGGATGAGCCGCTGGGGGTTCGCAGGGGTTCGGGAGAACCTCTAGCTAAGATTCTGTGCAGTTCAGAGAACCCCCCAAATCCCACTACTGGCTGGCCCCGTCCACCCCTCCCCTCCCAGGAGTCCCCACATAGCCCATTTTGGATGCAGGTAAGTGCAGGGTGTGCACGGAGGCTCGGGGAGGGCGAAAAATGGGCCTACTGGAAGTTTGGGAAGTTCCGTTTCCGGCCTCCAGAGGGCCTCTGGAGCCTGAGGAGGCCATTTTTGCCCTCCTGGAGGCTCAAAAAAAGCCTCCGGAGCCCAGGGAGGGCAAAAACACCCCCCCCCCCAGTGCAGGAGGCAGATTAGGCCACACCCACCATGGTCAAGCTCACCCAGCAACTGGGCAGAGAACCCCTTACTAAAAATTTTGAAGCCCACTCCTGGCTACCTCAATCTAGAATCTTCTCATTCTGGGAAATTGGCTGCAATCCTCTTTGCCACATTCTCCTCATCTCAAAACAACAACGACGACAAAAGCCACAAAAATCAGTTCATCCGAGGTGCCATTTAGCCCCTGTCCTTCGGTGAGTTATATCAGTTGGAATAATTCCTTACCCTCCCTTTGCTTTTAACGATTGCCTCCGTGTTGGTTTCACCTAATCATTTCTCCGAATGCACGTTGATAAAAGCTAGAGACGGCAGGAGCTCGCTTCCGATTTTTAATTTTTAATTCCAGTTTTTTTATTTTATTTTGGAAGCGCATAAAGGAGCGGAAAAAGAGGCTTACCAAAGCCCAACCTCAGGACTCTGCTACGAAATAATTCCTGGAATGAATTGTCAGAAAGCTTTTATTTACCGATCCTGCGCATTTCATTTCTCCCTGGCACGAGGCCAGGCTCCCTGACAGTCAAGATTTATTGATTTAATTGGCTGGTGTAACCATGCAATAAAATCATCTCCAAGATAAATTTTCATGGCACTCTTGTAGCATCGGAGTAATTTTTCAAGTGCTACGGCTATATTTCTCCGAGTTACAGGTGCAAAAAAAAAAAAAATTTGCTTA